GCATGGGGGTTTGAACTCAAGGCCTCACACTCGTTAGGCAGGCACTCTTAACACTTGAGCAACTCTGTAGTCATTTTTGTAAGCATTTGTGTAACGGGTTTTTTGAGATTTGGTTTCTCAAACTATTTCCCCAGGGACTGATGGTAAACCTCCATCCTCCAGTAGATTCAGCTGGGATCTACTCTTTCTTTTCTTCTGGAATGTGCTTTTCCTTCTCTAATAAATACCTGTTATTATAACTTTTATTATGTTTGTTGAATTAGGTGAAAGAAGCAAATAGACAGGGGCTGAAACCGCCCTGAGGCAGAGGGCTCAAGAGCACTTAGAAACCAGCTAGGGGCAGGGATTGGTTTGGTTTGAGACAGCAGCTCTGGACACTCACCATTCCAAGGTGGAGGCTTCCAGTGGGCTGTTTCCTTGGTGGGATACATGATAGCTCCCCCAAACTGCTCTGCCCATTCCACGTCTGGCTGCCATTGCCGAGCACCTCTGGGGAGTTAAAAATAGATCCTAGACAAAGGGCCTGAATAGTGCTTGGTTCCTCTGTTCCCATTCACTCTAAAGTGGACCCAGGGAAGGATGTCCTGGATTCTTGATACCAAGTTACTGACAAGAGTCAAGGTAGCTTTGAATATGCAAGGTTGGGGATCCAAGCTCCTTCATATTTTAACATATTCATATTTCATTCAGTGAATATGAATATGAGCAAGGTGTTTATTCAAGGTCAGCGTAAAATTACGATAAGGGGAGGAGGGGGTGGGATAGAGAGAGGAGGAAAGGGGAAGAAAGAGAGTGAGAGATTCTGGCTCTTTCGCTGAGTTCTGCTCAGGTATAACAGGAGAGGTGCACTCGAATCACTTAAGTTGAAGGGCAGAGTCTCCCATTCCAAGGATAAAAGGCTGGCAGAACAAGCTCAAGATCCTCCACTGCATCTAGGAGCCTGAGAAATCAGACCTGGGTGAGGGGGTCACAGGTCTGGGTCATTCTTTCCTGAAAGTTCACAGGACTCATGGAGTGTCCTCAGACTCGAGAAACCCTAGCCTTGTGGAGAATCTGTTGAGGGCTGCCCTCGGTCTCACCTGCTTGGCTGAAATGGCAGTCGGATCCCAGTCCTGGGCCGCAGCACCTGGGCACCGAAGCCCCGGAGGCTACAAAGAGCCTTCAGCGCCGCCATCTTACCCCTGCTGCAGACTGTGGGAAGGAGAACCGGGCGGAAGTTATCTCCACGCACCTCCTTGTAAGCTTCTCGTGTATTAGTACAACGGAGCCGCCATCTTGGAAACTGGCAGGGCCGGCAACCACGAACCTGACAACATCCGGATTCTGCGCCTCGGCTTCACTTTTGCTTAAATAATGATGACTGCTGTCATCTTTACTAAGGGCGCTCCTCCCACGGTTCTTAGCTGGCCTTTAAAGGCGTGAGCTAGAGGAGCTTGCGGCTCTTGCCTGCGGCAACATGGTACTAGGTGCTGTGTCGCCGAGGTCCTCTGCATATTCCTTGGAAATCGCCCTCCCGCCTGGTTCTCAGCGCACACTTACACGGGGGTTCCTTCTCTACTCCCTTCCGCCTTGGTCACCCTCCGACCCTAGTCCTACTTTCGAATTGTGTCTGAGCCCTGCCCTTCTGAGGTAGCCCCAGTTTTTGCCAATATCCCTGTTGCGGAACCCAAAAGATTTAATTTCCAGATGTCCTGAATCGGGATAGGGGAAAGGGGCCCAAGTGCAGTTGGGTGGATCTGAGAGCTCCCGCCAAAACAAAACTAAAAGGAGTAGGGCCAAGGCCACCAGCATTGGTGGAAGAGGGTGCCAGGGTGTGTAGAAGCCACCTTATTCCAGAGGTCGGAGGGAAGGTCCTCTGTTGGTGACCCTGATAGCCACCAGCCTTCCTGAACCTACAGAAGCACAGACCCAGGAAGCACCCTTAAAGATGCCTTATAACCCCTACCTCCCCTCATCCATTCTGGTCAGCCTCTTCCCTCATGTTTTTCTGACCCTGCCTTAGGCCTTCCCAGTAATGGCCAACAGCACAGAAATCTAATAGTTCCAGGATTCTGATCTCAGGTCTGTACAGACAAAGAGTTGTCTCGCCTATGAAGTTAGATCCTGTCTCTCCCTCTGCCTCCAAGCCCAGCTCCAGCTGGACCACCCACTCATTGAGTTTGTACAATTTTCCCACCCTGGGTCTGGAAAGAGGCCTTCCCCAGATCTCCCCTGGACAGGGTCCCTAGGACACAGCCCACCAGCAGTGGCAGCAGGGTGGAGTAGACAGACCCAGGGGAGTGGCAGAGACAGAATTCTTAGCTGCAAAGAGGAGAAAGCCAGACTCCTTGCCTGAAAATTGACCTAATGGGAACCATACCAAAGGGTGGGGCCAGTTCCTTGGCTGTGGGAATTGACCAGGACCTGGAATAGACAAGCCAGCCCCCACAGAGCCAGGGTAGAAGCTTGATCCCCTTACCCTCCTCATTCCCTGCCCTTTTCCTGGGCCTCTCTCCCTCTAGTTTAAACTCTGTAAATGTGCTGGTGATGGGGGAAGGGGAACTGCATTTATTTGCCTTGATTCAGCCTAGGAGAAGTCAGGATAGACTCTGAGCTGCTTGGCCCTGAGGGCAGCTTAAGCTGGTACTGTGTTGAGGGCTCCTGGGGGGCTGCTTAGGATGAAGAGGAGGGACACTGCATCTTTTGTGCCTTTCCCCTGCTGCCAACACCCCCCACACACTGTTGCTGCCACTCTAAGGCCCTTTGTCTTTCACTGCTTAGTCACCCCCTTTGTCCTTTTCTCAGATGGGGGGATGGAAAGGGGCAATGCGAGTCCTCTGGTGATAGCTCCTCTTGCCCCTGTCCCTTCTTGTCTCACATCCCTTGTGTGACTCCTCCAGTCCCAGCCCCCTCCACTTAGGATCAGGAAGGGTAAGGGCATGTGGTGGGTCAAGAGGTGGGTCTGCCAATCACAACAGGGTGGCTGGTGCACAAAGTAATGGGCACCAGGGCAGGTATTAGTGACCTGAGCAGGAAGGGAGGAGAAGAGGAAATATTCTGTCGGATATGATGTGGGGGACAGGAGGTGACAAGGCAGAGAGTGAATAAGAGAACTGGGGCAGAGGAAGGTGGTCCCCCTCTGGGAAAGGGAAGGGACTGTTGACTGCACTCTCCTTCCTGGGGATTTCCTGGGGAAGCAAGTGGCAGTGGGGTGGGATGAGCAGGAATTGCCCCTCTTCTGAACCTTTTACTTCCTTGCCTTGAGAATCTAACACCTACTTTCTGAGTCGCCTACAATCCAGAACCAAATGAATCATTTGCTTCCTTTCTCTAACACCACCCCAGGCACTGGTCTCCAGTCTCTTCCAGTACCCTAAAATGCTGCCTCCACTATCTCCCCACCCCATGGAGAATAAGAAATCAGAGATTACTAGATGTTCCAGGAACTATTGGGTTCTCAGGACAAGGTGGGGCCAGAAGTTGATCCTGGGTAATTCTGGGTTCCTGAGAGAGCAAGTCTTTCCCATGCTAGGGGCTGGCTAACTTGAGGCTGGGGGGCAGGGAAGAATTGTTAGGAGTGGGTAGGAGCAAGGCCAAGAGACTGGGGGAAGGTACTGGGAGCTGAGCCAGGGAATTGGGGAGTCAGGAAGTGGGGAGGGGGAAACCTTGGGGCTGAATGGCTCTTCCGGGCTTTAGAGGGGGTAGAGGGAGTGGTAACTCAGGAACAGGGAGCCTGAGGGAGAAGGGAAAGAAGAGACATTAGAGAAGAGGAGATATCACCCTGAATCCTCCTTCTGTAAAAAGAAAAGGCATTACCCCTCCTGCCTTGTCGTCTGCTTCCTCCATATGTCCATTCCAGCAGAATCATCCCACCTTTGGAAAGTAACCTCCCTGACCACTGTCTCTCAGCCACTCAGCCTCCTCTGTTTTGTTTTTGTTTGCTTGTTTTGTTTTTCACATTACTCAGAATTGAACCCAGGGCTTTGTGCTCTTGCCACTTGAGCCATGCCCCCAGCCCTATTGTTTGTATTTTGTTTTTGAGATAGGATCCTATACTATCTTTGCCCCAGCTGACATCGAACTTGAAATCCTGTCTCCACCTCCCGAACTGTTGAGATTATAGACTTGCACCCATGCCCAGCTTTCAGCTACATCCTTTCTTTGTTCTTCCCTCTTCCCTCTTCATGCTTTCTTACCTGTTCCCCATCCTCTTTATCCTGGGTAGCCTACTCAGTCCCTTCAGCCCTGGAAATCATCCTCTGGGGACAGAGGGCAGCATGAGGGAGCCTTGAGAAAAGGGAGGCCAGTTGATACAGGAATTCTCCCAGGACGGGATCCTATCCATGCATGCGTGTTGGCCAAAGCCTTTCCCTGAGTCTCTACATCCCCTGGGACTCTGTCCCACCAAAAAAAGAGACAGCTGAGGGCTGATTGTGGGGTTTGGAAAAAGGCTATGTCATCAGCTGGCTCAGTTCCTATAATCCATCCGGCTGCTAGAGATTCCCTTCCCCTGGGCAAGTCCCTTTTTTTCTTTTAAGGAAAACAAAAACTAAGATTTTGGGAAGCAATGATACATCCATCTGGGTCCCACCGATAGAGCTCCCGGCTGAGTGGCTTACAGATCAGCCAATCACAGAAGCTCTGGATGGCTTAAAAGAGCTGGCGGGGAGAAAGGCTGGGGAGAAAGGCTGGGGAGAACCCACAGACAGACTCACAGACACTAAGAGACAGAGGAGGAGAGAGACAAAGGCACAGAAGAAGGAGGCAGAGACAGGGCAGGCACAGGGTTGAAGCCAAATAGAATTATACAGAGCGACAGGCCAGAGAAGCTGTGGAAGACACAGGCAGGGAGAGACAAAGATTCAGGAGAAGAGAGCACTGGAGGAAAGTTTGGAGGAGACAGACCCCTGGGCACCTCTCCTAAGCCTAAGGGCTAAATTCTCTCAATCTCCTCTGAACATCTCCAGCCCCTCTAAAACCTCTGCCTCTGACCTTGGCACGAGTCCCAGCCCCAAGGCTTTAGAGAGGCGATTTCCACAGCTAGGGTGTGGAGGACTTGGTGCCCCGGACGGCCTCAGTCCCTCCCAACTGCAGCACCGGTGCCATGTCCCAGACCAGCTCGTATCCCGGGAGGGGCTTGGCGGGGCGCTGGCTGTGTGGAGTCCAGTCCTGCCTGCTGCTTCACTCTGTGCCTCTCTCCGTGCTGCTGTGGCTGCTTCTGCTGCTGCTGGCCTCCCTCTTGCCCTCAGCCTGGCCAGCCAGCCCCCTCCCCCGGGAGGAGGAGATCGTGTTTCCAGAGAAGCTCAACGGCAGTGTCCTGCCTGGCTCAGGCTCCCCTGCCAAGCTGCTGTACCGCTTGCCAGCCTTTGGGGAGACACTGCTATTAGAGTTGGAGCAGGACCCCGGCGTGCAGGTGGAGGGGCTGACAGTGCAGTACCTGGGCCACGCGCCTGAGCTGTTGGGTGGGGCAGAGCCAGGTACCTACCTGACTGGCACCATCAACGGAGATCCGGAGTCGGTGGCATCTTTGCATTGGGATGGGGGAGCTCTATTAGGGGTGTTGCAGTACCAGGGGGCTGAACTTCACCTCCAGCCCCTGGAGGGAGGCACCCTCAACTCTGCTGGTGGGCCTGAAGCTCACATCCTACGTCGGAAGAGTCCTGCCAGCGGCCAGGGTCCCATGTGCAACGTCAAGGCTCCTCCTGGGAGCCCCAGCCCCAGTCCCCGAAGAGCCAAGGTAGGCAGTCTGTGTCCTGCCGTGTCCTCTCACCATGTCTGTCCTACTGACCCCTATTCACCCTCTCTCCACCCACTTCCACTTCTAGCTGTTCTGCTTCCTCCCTCTGTCTGCCTTTCCTCTCTTTGCAAGCCTTTCTTGGGAAGGCTCTGTCCTCTCCCTGCCCCAGCCCTTCTCCTAGCCAGACCACTAACCTGCCCTGAGGGTTTCCTCAGGTAGGTCAGACATTTGAGGTTGGAATGACCTCTCCCCATCCCCACTCTATCCCTGCCTGGCCATGGCATCCCCTGCTGGCACAGTCTCCAGCAATAAAGCCCTCCTAACAGTCTGTTGACCTTGTTATTTTCTCTGCCCCAGTGGTTTTTACCCCTACTCCCAGCTAAATGAGTGAGGTTTGAGGTCCAAGAGGTTGGACTCTGGTTTCTGATGCCGTCTTTAAAATTGTTCTGGCAAATTGCAAACTAGTACAGGAGTGGGCAGGGAAAGAAAGGCATCCCATACCTCCTTCTGGTCAATCCCCTTCCCACAATGAGGACTGACTGCAAGGCTGCCTGAGGCTCCATGCTTTCCTCCCTCCCACTCCCAGGTCTCCCCCCTCTTTCCTTTCTTCCTCCCTCCTCCCTCTCTAGCTTTAATCCAGACCAGACGCTCTTTCCACACCCGCCACGCTGAGATCTGGCCCTGGCTGTAGCTGCTGACTGAATTATTCCTCCAACCACACAGGGCAGACACGTTGCAGCCCAGCCCTCTAGCCCTAGTCCCACAGGCCCCAGCCACACTCAGGCCGGGGGGACCCCAAAGCCCCTCCCTGAGGCAGTCCCAGCTGCTTTTACCTCTGGGGCCCACGCAGCAGCCCTGGGACGTGGCACCCCCTTCTCCTCCCCTTCTCAGAGCCAACAGCTGACTCCTCAGCATTACCACAAAAGCCTTGGGATTTGGGGGTGGGGGAGGGCCCAACCCAGCCCCTTCAGGAATCTGTGGGGTATGTGAGGCCCAGCTGGCTCTGCTGAGTTCCAGACCCAGGAAGTGAGGGAGGGGAGAAGTGATCCATGGGTATGGGAGACTATTTCAGGATCCTCCTTTCCTTTTTCTCTTCAGCGCTTTGCTTCACTGAGTAGATTCGTGGAGACCCTGGTGGTGGCAGATGACAAGATGGCAGCATTTCATGGTGCAGGACTAAAGCGCTACCTGCTGACAGTTATGGCGGCAGCAGCCAAGGCCTTCAAGCACCCAAGCATCCGCAACCCTGTCAGCTTGGTGGTGACTCGGCTAGTGATTCTGGGGTCAGGCGAAGAGGGACCCCAAGTAGGCCCCAGTGCTGCCAGACCCTACGCAGCTTCTGTGCCTGGCAGCGAGGCCTTAACACCCCTGAGGACTCGGACCCTGATCACTTTGACACAGCAATTCTGTTTACCCGTCAGGTGAGGCCCCAATCAGCACCACAGGCTGGGCACTGTACAATACCAAGAGGCACCACTACATAGATTGTCATGGAAATGGTGCCATGAAGTTATGCAACATGGTGTCTGGCCACAGCCATACTACCATGTGTGGCTATCTGGGCCCTGACAGTACCCAGGTCCCCACTAATGTAGCTCTCAGCCCAGTGGACCCATGCTGAGTCCACTCAGTCTAGGTTCCCCATGCATATTCTGTGATCTTTCTCCACAGGATCTATGTGGGGTCTCCACCTGTGACACTTTAGGTATGGCTGATGTGGGTACTGTGTGTGACACAGCTCGGAGCTGTGCTATTGTAGAGGATGATGGGCTCCAGTCAGCCTTCACTGCTGCTCATGAACTGGGTAAGGTGGGAATGAGGTCATGGGACACCTGGGGTGGATAGCAGAGGTAGCAGGGATCAGATGAGAAGAGGAGATAGTAAGCTCACCAGAGCGCAAATGGGAGTCTTGAAGTGTTTCTTCCTCCTCTGCAGGCCTGGGCCCAGGGCCTCTGCTCCAAGTGTAGACATAGATTTTCCTATTAAATAAGATAGTATGTGGAAGCTTACTGTGAACTGTGTGTGTGTGTGTGTGTGTGTGTGTGTGTGTTTGGAGGCGGAGTCAGTGATGGAATATGGTGCTTCAGGACTGGGAATGTTGGGTAAAATGAAAATAGGGAGGGAGGGCCTTCCCTTTGGAAAAAGAGAGGCAGAGCAATGGGGGCTACATATTGAGGAGTACTTGGAGCACCAGAAAGGGTTGGGCTAGAGTGGGGTGGAGAATGGATCTGATCATCCACAGTTGCAACTGAAGGCATAGGGTTGGGACCTTTGGACACTAGCAGGACTTCTGCTTTCACAGGCCATGTCTTCAATATGCTCCATGACAACTCCAAGCCGTGTGTCAGTTTGAATGGTCATGGGAGCGCCTCCCGCCATGTCATGGCTCCTGTCATGGCTCATGTGGATCCTGAGGAGCCCTGGTCCCCCTGCAGTGCTCATTTCATCACTGAGTTCCTGGACAATGGCTATGGTAAAGATGATACCACCTTTCTCTGTGCAGTACTCACAGAGTACTCCTGCCCCCCCCACCTCCCCACATTCCCCAAGAGCCACATTGACTCCTCCACGTGTGCTTCCTCTGCTGTGTGGGTTGGGGTGAGAAATGCTGCTGTCTTTGTGTGGTTCCCACATCCTACCAAAATAAATAGCACAGCTAGGGGAAGCAAATTTTGGCTCAAATAGAATTAGAATTGACCTTCTAAGTGCCAGAACTGTCCAACACTAGAATGAGCTGCCTATGAAGGAAGTGGCTACCTTGTCACTCAATGAAGGGTGCAAAAACAGCAGGATGACTGCCACTGGGCAGAGTCGTTGACGAGAAGCAGATGGGTAAGAGTAGTGGGAAGACTATACTTTAGTTTTATGCAGATGTGTGACTGTAAGTTATTTCATCCCTCTATATCTGATAGGTAAATTAATTGTAATAATGATATCTACCTCTTAAATATTTGGTCAAGCATTTAACCAATTCACATAATATTCATGCAGCTAAGCATGGCTGCTAGTTAAAGCCTCATAAAGCTCTAGGATTTTGTCTAGAATCCCCCAGACCTCATAGAGCCTAAGCTTTCAGCTGGCAAACCCGAATGCTCCCCTCAGGCCCTTACTGACATTATGCCTCAACCCCCTTCCCAGGACACTGTCTCTTAGACAAGCCAGAGGCTCCCCTCCATCTGCCCGTGACTTTTCCTGGCAAGGACTATGATGCTGATCGCCAGTGCCAGCTGACCTTTGGGCCTGACTCACACCATTGTCCACAACTGCCACCACCCTGTGCAGCCCTCTGGTGCTCTGGTCACCTCAATGGCCACGCCATGTGCCAAACCAAGCACTCACCCTGGGCTGATGGCACCCCCTGTGGGCCCACACAAGCCTGCATGGGTGGCCGCTGCCTTCATGTGGACCAGCTCAAGGACTTCAATGTGAGATTCCAGGGCAGGGGTGGCAGTAAAGGGGACTTGCCTAAGTCCAGGAGAGTACATTCATCCCATCTTTCCATTCTGTGCTTCTGCAGATTCCACAAGCTGGTGGCTGGGGTCCCTGGGGACCATGGGGCGACTGCTCTCGGAGCTGTGGGGGTGGTGTCCAGTTTTCCTCTCGTGACTGCACAAGACCTGTCCCCCGAAATGGTGGGAAGTACTGTGAGGGCCGCCGTACCCGCTTCCGCTCCTGCAACACGGAGAACTGCCCAGCGGGCTCAGGTGAGGGGTGGGAGGGTTAGGAACCCTTGGGAAGGGATAGTAGTGCTGGGAGAACTGTCCCCTGAGTGCTGGACTAAGGAGGTGTTCATTGCCCCTGCTGCTTGCTGGGAGAGGGGGTTCAGGGGGTGACTTTACTCTTCTGGAACTGTGCCTGGCATTTTATGGGGGAGGGAAATAACATGTAGTCTAAGGTTCTGAGAGGCTAGGTTGAGGGGTTTGTGGCAGTGTGAGGAGGCAGGAGCTCTGACTGTCCATTTCACCCCCTCTAGCCTTGACCTTCCGTGAGGAGCAGTGTGCTGCCTACAACCACCGCACTGACCTCTTCAAGAGCTTCCCAGGACCCATGGACTGGGTCCCTCGGTACACAGGTGTGGCCCCCCGGGACCAGTGCAAACTCACCTGCCAGGCCCGGGCACTGGGCTACTACTATGTGCTGGAGCCACGGGTGAGGCCCCAGACCCTGTCTAAACTCAGATACTCCCCAGTGGATCTTCTGCTTTCTGATAGCAAAGGTCCTCCAAAATAGCTACACTGCTGACATTTCCACAGCCTTGCCAGGTCAGCCTATGGGACCACTCAGAATTATCCATCCATGGGTATTGGCTTTTGGGAAAACAAGCCCAGACTCTGGATAAATGGCCAGTAAGGCTGTTCTAGCCTGCTCCATTTCCCTACTGCTTCCCTTTTTCTCTCCACGTTCTTGCACTGCATTTGGTGAAAATGGAAGCGTATGGCCTTTTGAGCAAGTCCTGGACTATCCTTTCCACAAGTTTCTCTGTCAAATTACAGTGATGGCCTCATTGGGCTCATGGAAAGCCAGTGTCTCAAAAGACAGGTTTCCTGTAAACGCTAATGTTTGGCACTGCCTCTGTGTGATAGGGCAGTGGGTTGAAGGCTGAAGAGGGAAAAACAAGCCATGGTAGCATTTGGCTTTCTCCCTTCCCCGCTAGCCTGCAGAGAATTCCTACAGGTTGGCTGCCCTCTAGTGTCCAACTGGAGGCAGTACCATTAAGTTTAGGGTTTGGTGTTGGGAGTCAGACCTAAAATTCCCATCTTGGCTTCTCTGTTTGCCATCTGTGTGACCTTTAGACAAGTTCCTTGATCTTTCTCAACCTCAGAACCTTAAATAGCAGTTGTGGGACTTAGGTTGACATTCATAAAACATTTACCACATTGCCTGATTCACAGTCAGTGCTCTGAAAATACTGAGTTTATAATTATTACATCATTATGATGATAATCACACACAAGCTTGGGCTCATCCTACACACCATCTTTATCCCCTACCTCACCCAACTTTTCTGATGTCCCTTCCCTGATGGCATCTGGGTTTTGTTTGGTTTACCAACTCCTTCTGACTTAGGAAGAACCCTTTATACCATTCTTTCTTTTCTCCTCAGGTGGTAGATGGGACCCCTTGCTCCCCAGACAGCTCCTCAGTCTGTGTCCAGGGCCGCTGCATCCATGCTGGCTGTGACCGCATCATTGGCTCCAAAAAGAAGTTTGACAAATGCATGGTGTGCGGTGGGGATGGTTCTGGCTGCAGCAAGCAGTCAGGCTCCTTCAGAAAATTCAGGTTCCTTCACCATTTATTTATTTATTTATTTTCCTCTATTTTTCTAAGTGCTGTTCTGGGTCCTGGGGATCCAGAAGTTACTCAACACTGTTTCTACAATCTAGTGAGAGAATAGTTGAGTAGGCAATTATGGTACAATGCCCCCATATGTTTGACAGAGGGCTGTGAGAGCCTCTTGTAGGCTCTGGACTTGGGAGGTGACCTCTGTGCTGGAGGGAGAATTGGAATTGGACAGACACCAAGGAAGTGGCACCTCAGTAGGTGTAGGTATTAATGTCCAGAGATAATGAGGAGAAAGCTGCCTAGCAAGCCTGAGGCCCTGAGTTCAAACCCCAGTACCACCACCACCAAAAAAAAAAAAAAAAAAGAGTAAGGAGAGTACATTTGCACGTCGCTTTGATTTAGGTTGCACAGCTCATGTAGGTTGGAGGATACACCCACACACATATGCACGCATTCAATCAGACAAACAACGCAGGTGATGCAGGAGATGCTAAGCTCCCCCTCTACTCCTTCCACACGCAGGTATGGATACAGTGATGTGGTCACTATCCCTGCAGGGGCCACACATATCATTGTCCGGCAACAGGGAGGGCATGGTCCCCGGAGCATCTACCTGGCCCTGAAGCTTCCAGATGGCTCCTATGCCCTCAATGGTGAATACACGCTGATGCCCTCCCCCACAGACGTGGTACTGCCTGGAGCAGTCAGCTTGCGCTACAGTGGGGCCACTGCAGCCTCAGAGACACTGTCAGGCCACGGGCCGCTGGCCCAGCCCTTGACACTGCAAGTCCTGGTAGCTGGCGACCCACAGAATGCACGCCTCCGATACAGCTTCTTTGTTCCACGTCCTGTCCCTTCGACACCACGCCCCCCTCCCCAGGACTGGCTACACCGCCGGGCACAGATTCTGGAAATCCTTCGGCGGCGCTCCTGGGCAGGCAGAAAATAACCTCACCATCCCGGCTGTCCTTTCTGGGCACCGGGGCCTCGGACTCAGCTGGGAGAGTGAGGGGGTTACCGAAACTGCCTCTTGCTAAGCCACAGTGGGGAGGGGCTGCACCCGCCCCTCCTCTCTGTCCTAATGAGCAGGCTGGCCCTGCCCAGATTTCCTGCCCTGGGAGGCAGTATGGGTTGGTGGATCAAAGGGGCTAGGAGACAGTCTCCTATTTAAACTGCCCCCTCTGCCCTGCCGGTCACAGGAGGGAGGGAATAGGCAAGATGGGCCCTGAGCCTCAGTTGTATTTATTTAGTATTTATTCATTTTTACTTAGCACCAGGGAAGGGGTGAGGACTAGGGTTCTGGGGAAACTGACTTATAGTCCCACCCTGGCTAGGAAATCCAGGGTGGCAATGATAAGTATAAGTGATTTTGTGTGTGTGTGTGTGTGTGTGTGTGTGTGTGTGTGAATGTATGCTTATGTATGAGGTACAACTTCCCTGTTTTCCTTTCCCTGAATTTTATTTGCTGGGAAAGGAAGAAAAAAGGGTAGGATGGGCCTTCAGGGAGTGAGGGATTACCATATTTTTAAAATGTAATTTGAATTCTTCTATTTATGTGCTCCTTTTGGAGTCTGACAGATGTGGGTTGCATCTTGGTTCCATGTCTTTGAACATTAGTTTTTTCATTTGTCAATAATAATACCTCTCTTAGAAATTTGTTATAAGGATTAAATAATGTAAATAAAATTTAAAAACTACCATAATGCCTTGCACTGGGTAAATGCTCCACAAATGGCAGCTGCAGTTGATTATTATCTTACTGCTCTGTCCACATCCACTCTCATAGGGTCTACAATGCCATTGGCAAAGATCCACATCAGTGGTGCCTACCCTTATCCCCAGGCTCAGTTCCTTTGGCTGGCAGAACTCTATCCTGGATCCTGAGAGACAATCAGAGAAAGGACATTCTGTCCCTTACCTCTCCTAGTCACATGAAGGAGACAGGATAATTGCTTGTCAAGGATAACAAAAAAGCAAGAAGTATCTCAACACAAACAGGTGCTTAGTAGTAAGAGTGATAGTTGAGGGGGTCAAAGAAAACTGTTGTAGTAGAAAGAGCCCTAGAACAGAGCCAATGGATCTAAATTTGAACTGGGGTTCAGCATCTTATTATCTAAATGGTGTTGGGTAAGTCACTGATGCAGAACCTTAGATTAGTCTTATGGAATGGGACTAATCACACCTGTTCCCACAGGGATGTTCTCAGAGCAAATGTTTAAATATTTTCAGATAGTCAAGGATATAGCAAGGTAAGAGGTTACCTTTATGACTACTGAGTGACTAGGACAGAGTCCCTAGAATCAATCAATATAAACTCAGCAGACTCCTTTGAAGAGGTTAGGTTAGAATGAAATTCAATAAGAGGAATAGGATGTGATTTGGCAGGGACTAGACAACAAGGTAAAAAGAGTAGCATGAAGAAGGAGCTGAGAGAGGAGAGCCATATGTTCAGTGGAGGCAGAATATTTGAGGAGCAGCACTAGATCCTGGAGCAGCTTTACTTTTCTGTCTGAGTAGAAGACTTTGCTTGAGAAAGAACCTGAGCAGTTCTATGTGTGATATGGTGGGACAGGAATGGACAAGGGTGGCAGGTGGAACCTATAGGAATTTGGAGTTTTGAGTAGCAGAATCAAGACTGCCAGGGATTGGGGAAGGGACTGAATGTAGAGGTAAGGGAGGAACTATAGGTAAATAAGACCCTGAGGTGAAAGTGGAAGAGGGGAGAAATGAGAGAACCAAAGTTACCTCACTCTGCTGTTGCAGTTCCTGCTGGGCTGCCAACTATAAGTCGGGTGATGAGCTGGGACTATGTGGTTGAGTGGTAGGAGTGGAGGTTATGACAGTTGTGCACACTCTACTCTCTGGAGCTGGGCGTTGCTAATCTAGTTCTGTACTAGGCAGACCCTTACTCAGTACCCTATACTGTACACCACACAGCATATTGCCTACTCCCTCTGCAGCAGTGAACAAAGGGCTGCCCACACTCTTCGCTGCAGTATATATGGCTCTCATTGTTGTGCTTGACCCCTGGGCATCCTGTAGCACTCCTACCAAACAGGCAAGAGGAGGCAGGAACAGGAGAGTGAAAAGAGGCCAGAGTGATCTTCAATTGTTTCATCTAGTTAACAAAATTGAACCACGACTAATATGTTTATGGACCTTACTACATTGTACACATGGTACTAAGTGTATATGAGGCACAAATACAATACGTGACTGTGTTTTTATGGAGCTCACATTGCCTCCTAGGGAGGAGATTGTGTACTACACCTTCACAATGGGAGAAACAATGGGACCATACAAGGAACTGTACGATAAGAGCAAAATTAACTGCAGAGACTAAGTCCTGTACTTAATGGGCTATGAGGGTTGAGGAAGGCGAGCCTTGGATTTGGCCCAGAGGAGCAAGTCATTATGGTAGCCCTTCTCACCTTTCTTTAATACTCTTGTCAATTCACACTTTATAAATCATTTCCACATATGTTATTTTAAGAACCCCTTTGCTCACTGGATAAGATTCTTACTGACAAAGTTTTCTCCAGAACGGGACAGAGCTTAGAGGCCACTTCTGTATAGGTGTATAGGTAGCTGGGTAGGAGCATACAGTGAAAGTGGGGGCACAGAGAAGTGATGAGCATCCCAGCCCTAAATCTCAGGCCAATCATGATCCATTTCTGGAATGATCTTCCCCAGACCACTATTCTCAGACTGGGATATAGGCTGGACCTAACATCCTGAAGTCAGGACTCCCAAGTTCTTGCTAGGATTGTAGGGACCACATACCTCCCTGTAAGAGCCAAGATGAGCTCTGTCTCCCAATCTGTCTACTTACTGTCTTCATGGGCCTAAGCTAGGGTATGAATGTACAAGAAGGAGCAGAAACAAGGAAAACAGGAAAAAAGGAGGTGCTAACACTTTCCATGTATCTGGTCTTAGTGGTGAAAAGGGCCAATGAGGAGCTGGAAAAAGAAGAAGCAGTGACTGACAAGGGAGTAAGCTTCTCTCTAGAGAAGTTGAAGCAGAGTTTGAAAAACCATTTTATGAGAGGGCAAGTGTGTGTATGAGGCTGCTCCCCTGCTTCTGTGGTTAGAGGAGAGGAAATCTGGGCATTTGTCCAACCACTATTTTTGTGGGGGAGGTGGGAGAGCCAGGGTTTCTGGATGGTTCTGTGGAATGAGCATTTATGTTTCTACTCTTTCTCTAGTCCCACATTTGAAATCTTCATACAGTATTACAGTATTTTGTTTTTTAAAAATACCAGATTGAGCCATGTGCTGGTTGGCTCATACCTGTAACCTTAGCTATGCAGGAAGCAGAGATCAGGAAGATAGAGATTCAAAAGCCAACCTGGGCAAATAGTTCATAAGACCCTATCTTGAAAATACCCAACACAGGGCTGATGGAGTGGCTCAAGTGGTAGAGTGCCTGTCTAGCAAGCATGAGGCCCTGAGTTCAAACCCCAGTACTCTTACAGTGATTGACAGTAAGTGACAAAGCCAGTATCTCATTGGTCAGGGAGGAAGGGGCAAGGAAATGTATTTCAGTGTGTTAACATTTTATTGTCTAAGAGGATGCTTCTGAACCAATTGAATAACTTCTCCATTGACTGTTGGTGAGAAGAAGCCAAAATCATTGGCAGCAAGAGTAACCAGCTGACAGCTGGAGGAAACCACCCATTCTAAAAATGCTCAGAAAGGGTGTGTGGGGGTCTAGGGAGATGGGGGAGAAACAATACTGAACAACTTACCCAGACAGGACCTTATATGGGGACAGACCCAAGTACTTAAGTAGCTTTGGGAAGGAAAGGGAGGGGAGGAAGTGGATTTAAGCATCCCCTGCAGACTTTGGTCAACTAGCAACAGGCTCTACAAATGCACGAAAACAGTGACATTCATTTCAAACACATATCCAGCTTTAGGAGATACACCAGCACACTCTCTTGACAATGTAGATGCAAATAAGCACTAGAGAACTGAAAATATTACAAAAAAAAAAAACTGGCCTGAAAATGAGTCTGAAGAAAAGGGTAAAGTTTATTAATTGATTTTTTTTCATTTCTCCCCCCTATTAATTGATTTAATCTCCCATTGAGAATTGATTTATTGCACTTGTTTGTTCAATAAGCAAACCATTGGTTTGTAAACTGTTGTAATCACTCTCATAGTGTTTGGGAAGGACATGGAGCTTTGGAGTCAAATGAATCTATGCTTTGATGTTTACTTATATGTAACAGTGTGACCTTAAATCATTTGATGTCTGCCTTCCTTATCTGAAAAATGAATAAGCTACTGCTTGCCTTATGGAGAGGTTGTCAGAACTTAAGAATATAGCAATGTAAATGCTTGACAGTGTCTTTGGCTACTAATAAGTAGTCAATGCATGCTGATTCTCTTTCCTTTGAACCTTCTGCCTTTGCCCTCCTTCCAAACTCTGAATTAGCATGAGAAAATAATTCTATCAAGGAACAGTCTAGATCATATCTAAGATGGGTTTTTTTGTAAAATTTGTACCAAAAGTTCTTGGTTACATTCAGATGATAAAAGGGAAGACATGGTCCTTATCCACAGAGAGTTCACAGAAAAAAGTAAAGATCAGAAACCAGGTATGATGGTTTCCCACCTGGAAAATCCCTTGGCTACATAGGAAGACCTTGTCTCAAAAAGCCAAAAAAGGCCAGGCACTGGTGGCCCAAGCCTGCAATCCTAGCTATTCAGGAGGCAGAGATTAGAAGATTGTAATTAGAAGACAGCCCAGGCAAAAAAAAAAAAAAAAAAAAAAGCCAAGTGATGATGGCTCACACCTAGCTACTTGGGAGACTGAGATTGGGAGGATTGCAGTTAAAGTCCAGCCTGGGCAAATAGTTAGCAAGACCCCCATCTCCAAAATAACCAGAGCAAAATGGACTAGATGTGTGGCTCAAGTGATACAGTGCTTGCTTTGCAAGTGCAAAGTCCTGACTTCAAACCCCAGTCCCATACACACAAAAAAATGCCAAAAGGAAAGAAAGTGTATGTCAGTTTTTTTTTTTTTTCTTTTCTTTGAAGGTCAGTTTTGTAAGAACAAAACACCATGCATGGCAAAGCAGAGGCTCAATGGAAGAGCCCTCTGGGAGAACCATATTTCAATGATTTGTACAAATCTATCTTTTCTGCTACAGTGAGCCTTAAAAATCAGGGCTATTACTCTATACTTATTTTGTGCTTACAATTCAGATGTGTTGAATATTTGCTGCCTGCTGGGCACTTTTCTATGTTTCTTACTAATTATCACAAAACCTCTTAAGATGGGATTCATTTTACAGATGAAACCCAGAGAGTGCATTGCTCAATCACATAGTCAATGAGCTTCAAAGCAGTATTGCATTCAAACCCACAGTAGGTCATCCTTAGCCTCCACAGGCACTTCAAACTCATTATGTGCAAATTTTGTCATTTCTACCCCTCCCCCAAAAATGTGCCTCTTCTAAGTTTTGCTTCTCATTAAATGGGCACCAGTCAGGCTGGGGATATAGCACAGTGGTAGAGTGCTTGCCTGGCATGCCCAAGGCCCTGGGCAGTAGTTGCAGCAATAATGACAACAAATAAAACAAAACAAAACAAAACCACCACTATCCACCCCTTGGTCCAAATAAGAAATCTAGGAGTCACCATTAGAGACTCTCACTCTGTAATTTAGCACATCCAGTCAGTCACCAAGTCCTGTTTGCCTCCTAAAAGTTCTCAAAGACATCCTCTTCTTGATAGTCCTACTGATAATGCTTTATTTTACATATGCTTCACTCCTGGATTTCTTTCTTTCTGTTTTCTTTTTTGGCAGTACTGGGGTTTGAACTCACACTTGCTAGGCAGGTGCTGTACCACTTGAGCCACTGTACCAGCCCTGTTTTTTGTGTTGGGTATTTTCAAAATAGGGTCTCCTGAACTATTTGCCTGGACTGGCTTTGAACCACAGTCCTACTGATGTCTGCCTCCTGATTACAGGCATGAGCCACCAGTGCCTGGCCTCACTCCTGGATTTCTGTAATAACCTTCTAAACAGTATTCTGCCTCCTGTCTTGACCACTTCAATAATGTCCCACATTTCCACCAGAAGAAAGCTCTGATCATTATACTCTCTGCCCAGAACACTTTAATGCCTTCTTGCCCTAAAGATAACACCCAAACTCTTTATTTTTCTCCATGCTGGGAGCTGAACCCAGGGAATTATGCATATGGGATCTACCATTGAGGCACATCTCTAGCCCTATTCTCTTTTAAAGTGGCTTATAGTATTTTATTATCTGGCACCTGCTTGTCTCTCTAGTCTCATATCTAAACATTTTCTTTGCTTTGCTCTGTTGTCTAGCTTTACTTTTTATTTTTTTTTAAACTGGGGTTTGAACTCAGGGTCCTGTGATTGCTAGGCAGGTGCTCTACCACTTGAACAATACCTCCATCCCACTGATCTGTTTTTAATTTCCCAAACTCCCTAATTTCCAGACTTTTGCACTTACAGGTTTCTCTCTCTGGAACACTTCACCTGTTAAAAGATAATTTTCAAGGCTGGTGGAGTAGCAAGTGGTAAGGTGCCTTGCCTACCAAGCCATGAGGCCCTGAGTTCAAACGCAAGTACCATCCATTAAAAAAAGATAATTTTTAGAAAAAGGTAAAAATTATAACTCTCATAGTGTTTTTCTGTTGCTCTCTGTTATTTTTTGGTTGATGTGTGCACATGGTTTTTTGAGACAGGGTATCATCATACAGCCCAGTCTAGCCTAGAACTCCTGATCATCCTGCCTCCTCAACCTCCTGAGTTCTGGGGTTGCAGGCATGAAGCACCACACCTGGCCTAGGACTCTCATACTGTAAAAGAAAAAAAAATGTATTCTGACAGTTGTTAAAATAGAAAGGAAGACTTTATTCAGGACTACTGTGAAAGGTTAAAAATGAGAGGGGGAGGTGGAGAGAGAGAGGGAAAGTCAGGAAGTGAAGGAGGAGGAGGTAGAGAAAAAGGAGGAAGAGGAAGAAGGAGGAGGAGGGGGAAATGAGAGGAGAGATATTAGGCTCAAATCCTAACACAGTAAAGACAAGTGGGGATTTGACAATGAAGGAGTCAGTGGATGGAAGGAAAATTACATCAAGGGTAGGGGAGTTATTAACATTTTTCCACTTTTCTTGCCAACACTGGAGAAGGGTAAGGGGATTCTTGATCAACTGAACAGAATTCTTGCTGAAGGCAGGTGAAGATGATCAGATATCAAGGTGGGGGGCACTCTTGTTTATCTGGCTTGGCAGGATTCTTGCTAAAATTGTTTAGGCAGGTCCAAGATAAGGCCCAAGAATAAGGCTTAGTTACTAAAAGAGAGTTCAGTGGAGCCTGTCTAAAGTTTGGTTAAGAAGAGTCTTTAAAAATAGCTATATAAAAATGGGCATGTATTTATTTTATTTAACTCATGAAGGATCTGGCAAATATTACAACTGGTACAAGAGAAAATCTAGAAAGCAGACATATTTACAAATCGGGAATACAAAAATGAGTAAGAATATAGGGTAAAAACTGCCTCCCCCCTGCGCCCCCACAAGTGAAAGTAGGAGATATTCGAATTTCTACCAGACAGGACAGAATTTCCGTGCAGATTACTTACCTATACTGAGTTGTACAGTAACTCCCATGAAGACAGAATCCTGTAAAGCAGGACATACTATAGAAAGGTCCTTCAGATTTCCCATTACACATCACTATTTCTGGAAAGCCTTCCCAGAATCTCCACATGTGAATGAGGTGTCATTTCTGAGTTATATTAATCACATTGTATTGTTTATATCCCTTCCTCCCCCTCCGCCCATACACGCACAAAAGACCAGGAGCTTTTTGAGGCAGACACTGTAATTATTGTTTCCTCAGCATGAACATTTGCTTTTAAGAAACACAATATGGGGCTGGGTTGTGGCTCAAGTGGTAGAGTATCTGCCCAGCACGTGCAAAGCCCTGAATGCAAATCCCAGTACCAGAGCCCGGCGCCGGTGGCTCACACCTGTAATCCTATTTACTCAGGAGGCAGAGATAAGGAGGATCCACAGTTCGAAGCCAGCCCCCACGAGACCTATCTTGAAAAAACTCATCACACAAAAAAATGGGATGGTGGAGTGGCTCAATGTGTAGGCCTTGAGTTCAAACCCTAGTACTGCAAAAAGAAAAAAAAAAATCCCAGTACCGAAAAACAAAACAATCCACAATGTGCCAAGGACTAGTGAAAACCACAGTATAAATATAATGCATATCAATGTAGCGTCCATTTTATTCCAATACCTAGGAAGATACATTTTTTTACATTGAAACAGACGCTGTCTTTCCCTCCACACTCAATGTTTCACTGTTTTATTAACTGTTTCCTTCCATTTCAAAGCCTGCGGGATACCACGGGGATAACAAAAATGGGCTACAGCCGTCGAAAACATTGTAGCTCGGGCGAGAAACAAATTTGATACTAAGTGGTACTAGGCTGCAGGGGGCGCCGATGACACAGAGGCAGGGAGACTGAGCCTATGCCCGGGTGAGTGAGGTCGTCCGCTGCATCAGAAACTGTTCCACCGGCCTCTTAGTCTCCGCCCTTTGGAAAAGAATGGTTTGAGCTACTGTCTTTATAAATCACAGGTGAGAAATGGAATCCGGCTAGGAAACTGCGGGGCGGGGATGAGCCCGCTCCCCTGCTCCCTGAGGTGTAGGGCCCCTCCACCGCGCCGGTCTACTCCGCAGCAGAGCCAGGCATCCCGGGCCGCCCTCTGGCGGGCGCCTCCACCATAAGCGGTGCTGGAACACACCGCTTCGCCGGCCGGGAGGCTCCGCCCCGCGGCCCCGCCTCGTGACGCGAGGCCCCGCCCCGCGGCGCCCGCTTCCAAGATGGCGGCAGCAATATCTGCCAGGCTGTCAGGGTGGCGGTGACGACGGGAAGCAGATCTGGTATGTAAGCTGAGGACGATGGAGAGAGAGGCCTCGGAGAAAGGTTCGGGTGGTCGGGAGGGTGAGAAGTTTGGGTAAAGGCTAGAGTCAAGCTTGAGAGGGACAGGGTCCCAGGTGAAACTGTGGACGGGGGCCGGGTGGGCTCACATTGCACAGCAGGGAAATCGCAAGAGGAGATTGGAACGGGATGGGCGTGCTCCAAAAGAACAGGGGCTTTTATCCCCCCCACACAGCTCTGACCACGCCCCTCCAGGTGAGCGCTCCCAGGTACCCTTGACAGTCTCTGCCTCAGCCCTCCTTGTCTGCTTCTCACTTCAGTAATAATCCTTCTCCCCACCCCCATCAGGACTGGGGAAAGGTGGAAAAGGTAGAGCACGCCACCCCCACCCTACTCCTGACCGCGCTCCGGGGCTGTTTGCTTGCAGCTCCCAGGTGGTCATGCTCCTTGCACCTGCGGAGCTAGCTCCCTGGCACGTGAAGAACAGAAACAGCCTGTTTCCTACTTCGCCCTGGGTTCTCCTGGGACCACTCCAAGGTCCTATCATGACTGCCTTGACTGCCTCTCGAATGGGTTTTCGGTATGGGTGAAAACAGTGCCTCCATTAGTTGCCCTGTTCCCACTCCCCAAACAAGATCTGTCCTAGTGGGGTAGGGGGTTAAGTACAGACCTGACACTGTATCACTCGAGTAGCCTGGGAGAAAGACCAATGCCCTAACATCTTCTCTTCTTTCCAACCACTTTCCCTCACTTCCCGATTGGAAACTGGCTTCCTCCTAATCTTGATCTCTGTCCATGCAAGTTATCGTTGACCACTTCTGTTCCAGCTGGTTCCAAATTTGCTTTTGGAGAGCTGGATGGAGTCTTTCTCTGTCCTTTGTGACATTTTCAATTTTAGATAATGCCTCACATCTGTGCCCCCCCGGGACCCCCTGGAGCCCCCATGGTCCGGAAGAAGACAGCTTGAACCTAGGTGAGTCTATCTTTTCCCCTCTAAGATTGGAGGGACTTCAGAGACTCTAATGAAATGGACATAGGATTTGAATGATGTAAGCATTCTTGTGGGTGGGGACTGAGAGTAGATGTTGGGAGTGGTTTGGGGGGAGGTGGATGAGAGTGAAACTTGGGCTGGAAGTGACAGGTGTTAGGGCTGCTGGTGGTTACATCTAGGTATTTCTTTTCCTAGTGTGACTGACTGCAAACCTGTGTTTCTGTGACTTTGTTTTCTGCCTGTTTTTCCTCTTTGGCCCCTGGCACCACCTTCATCTCTACCTGCTAATCTCCTTACTGGCTTACTTTTCTTCCTACCCCCTCCCAGAACTCCCCTCTCTCCCTCTCCAGACCTCTTCAGGATGTTGCGGAGGCTGCTGGAGAGGCCCTGCACATTGGCCCTCCTTGTGGGCTCCCAGCTGGCCGTCATGATGTACCTATCATTAGGGGGCTTCCGAAGCCTTAGTGCCCTATTTGGCCGAGAGCAGGGGCCAACATTTGACTATTCTCACCCCCGTGATGTCTACAGTAACCTCAGTCACCTGCCTGGGGCTCCTCCAGCTCCTCAAGGTCTGCCCTACTGTCCAGAACGGTCTCCTCTTTTAGGTGAGTACAAAAGAAAGAGGAAGAGATGGGGGCAGGGAGCCTTGGGCATTCATGGAGTGGCACTTAGAACAGATTAATGTACCTAAAGGGGGCTGAGGTTGAGCCAGAGTGGATTCTGAATCCAGAATTTAGACTAGGCTTTTGTATTGGGTCACAGCTTTCCATTGCCTGCACATTTATGGGCTCTTCCTGCCTCAGGCTAGGAAATATTTCTCTTGTAGATGAGCCCTGGTCTAATTAGTTAGTTGGAAGTCCTGTTTCTTTCCCTCCCCCAACTGTAGCTTCAAACCCTGTGGGGTGGGAGAAAGTTACAGAACCCTAAATAAGAAGGCAGACTAGGTAAGGAGCCTGTGCCTTTCAGGTTTTGTAAAGCCTTCCCAATGAGGGAAACCAAGGCTTGAGGTTTCTAGGTGAGCCCGAGGGGGAACTGAGCCCAGAACCTGTCAGGGCAGGATGTTTTCTCCTGCTCTGCTGCTTTCTTTTCTCCTTGCCCCTTCAATACCTGAACATGCCATTCCTTCCCAACAGTTGGTCCCGTGTCAGTGTCCTTTAGCCCAGTGCCATCACTAGCAGAGATTGTGCAGCGGAATCCCCGTGTGGAACCTGGGGGCCGGTACCGCCCTGCAGGATGTGAACCCCGCTCCCGAACAGCAATTATTGTGCCCATCGTGCCCGGGAGCACCACCTGCGCCTGCTGCTCTACCACCTGCATCCCTTCCTGCAGCGTCAGCAGCTTGCTTATGGCATCTATGTCATCCACCAGGTACTCCTGGGTTTTTTGTTGTTTTTTTGGTGGTGGTACTGTGGTTCAACCTCAGGTCCTCATGCTTGCCAGTGTCACTTGAGCCACTCCACCAGCCCCTACCAGGTACTCTTAATTTCCATCTTACTCTTTCTTTCATATAAGGAAGCCTCAAGTAAATGCCACTGCACTGTCATCTAACGGGTGTCTGGAATAATTGTCAGAGGGCAGATTGGAATGTGAAGCACTTGGCCTTGCTCTTCCAAATCTGTTAGTTCCATACTTCTCATTCTGTTTATGGTACTCTGCTGACTTATAATCTTCCATGGTTTTTCTCCCATTGAGTGGCTTTTGCAAATTTGAAGGGCAGATATGGGCTGAAATTATAGTTCTGATATTTAGGACATGTGTGACTTTGAGCAAGATATTTAATGTATGGCTCATGCCTATAATCCTAGCTACTCAGGAGGCAGAGACTGGGAAGACTGAGGTTGGAGTCCAGCCCAGGCAAAAAGTAATCAAGATTCCCATCTCAACAACAACAAAAAACTGGGCTTGGTGATGTATGTCTGTAACCCCAGCTACACTGAAGGCATAAATGAGGACTGTAGTCCAGGCAGGCCTAAGTGTAATAATTTGAGACTGTTTGAAAAATAAAGCAAAAAGGGCTGGAGGTATTGCTTAAGTGATAGAACACTTACTTGCCTAGCAAAGGCGAGGCCGTGAGAATCACTCCCAAACCACCCCCCCTACCCCCGCCAAAAAAATAAAAATATTTAATCCTCTAAAATGAGGCAAAGAGAATTAACATGCCACCTGTTCCTGTTCCACTTTTTTTTTGGTACTGGGCTTTGAACTCAAGGCCTCATGCTTGCTAGGCAGGCACTCTACCACTTGATCCACTCCTCCCGCCCTTTTCTTCATTGGATTTTTTTTGAGATAGGTTCTCATTTTTGTTGCCTGGACTCGCCTCCAACTGCAATCCACCTGATCTCTGCTTCCCAAGTAGCTAGGATTATAGGTGTGAGCCATGGGCACGTGGCACACACGGTTGCTTATTGTCAGGATGAAATGTTTAAACAGTAACACCAACATGTCAGGCACATACTGATAAAGAAAAAAATTGCTGATGACTAAGTAAGTTTGTCTTCCTCTTCATCTCCTTGGCCCTTATCTCACTTTGATTCCCCTCTTTTCACTTTTACACTTTAGCTTGTCTCTTTTCCATGTTGCCTGTAGGCATAACCTGGTCCCTCTCCATTATCTTCTAGGCTGGAAATGGAACATTTAACAGGGCAAAGCTCCTGAATGTTGGGGTGCGGGAGGCCCTACGTGATGAAGAGTGGGACTGCCTGTTCTTGCACGATGTGGACCTCCTGCCAGAAAACGACCACAATCTGTATGTGTGCGACCCCCGGGGACCCCGACATGTTGCTGTTGCCATGAACAAGTTTGGATACAGGTATAGGGCATGAAAGGGTGCTGGGAAGCAGAGAAACAGTCCAATGGGAGAGCCCAGGAGATTGTGGGTAGGGATTTCTCTAACATTTTTTTGTGGAATGCAAGGATCTTTCTCTTCTTAGCCTCCCATACCCCCAATACTTTGGAGGGGTCTCAGCGCTCACTCCTGACCAGTACCTGAAGATGAATGGCTTCCCCAATGAATACTGGGGCTGGGGTGGTGAGGATGACGACATTGCTACCAGGTCAGACTTCCTGCCACAACCTCTCCCTACCCCAGCCTTTCAACACTAATCGTTAGCGCCCTGGTCCTGCACTGAGCCCATTCTTTTCCCTTAGTCTTTTTAGTCTACCCAGGTCAGGGTCTGCATGCTGCTCTTCATTCTGTCATCTTTCATTTTCCTGCATTGGGTTAGAGATGACATCAGTAGGAAATACGGGATTCCAGAGCTGGAGAGAGACCTAGAGACAGTTTAGTTCTGCCTTCTGTAGGCTTGCAGACCACTCCCCCATGGGGAAAGGAGAGAGGGGTTTTACTCTATGTAGCCTAGAATCACTTAAAAAAGACCCTGTGACATTGGCATGATGCCAACTCATGTTTTAACATTCTGACCTTCAGCTTCAGCTGGCCGTTTCATGTGTGATATAAATATTTGGGCTTGATAATGTGGGACTCATTGCCTTCCCTCTTTTGTCCTCCCTTGTGACATGTTTGTATGAATTCTCATCTGTGTGTGTATAGCATGCAGCAAATTCTAAATGTACATATATTTTCTTTCAGTTCCTTCCCCAGCCATCTTCAATCCTTGCTTCCATGCATCAGATTTAGGATTTGTTTAAGGTCTTTATTACCTGCTACTCTTTTTTTTTTTTTAAACACATAGCAGCAGGGGGAGGCATCGAGGAGAGGATTCAGGTAGCTCAGACACTATTCTAAATAAGAATTGCTGGGCTAGGGGTGCAGCTTGATGGTAGATTATATACTTAATTTGTACAAGGCCCTGGGCTCAATTCCCAGCACCATAACAGAAAAAAAAAAGAAAAAGAAAAAAAAAATGGAATTGCCGAGTTTGGGTCTGCAATTCCCAATCATGTCCTAACCTTTTGACAAAATGGCCTCTCTCCCTGTCTAACCAGAGAGGGAAGGCAACTCCTGGGAAGCAAACATCAGAGCCTACCTCTGCCAATTGGTAAAAGGCCCCAGGGTGCCTGGCACTGGCTGTTTCTTCCTTCTTTCTGTTTGATTTTCTCCTGCATTTGTGTACGTGGCACTTTTTTTTTTTTGCCTAAAATTGCTCTTTGTGTACAGAAACATGAAGTCCCTTCCTTGTTGGCCTTTGCTCTTTCTTCCACTCTGGATCCTCCAAGATCTCCTCACTTTTCCCACAGGGTGCGCCTGGCTGGGATGAAGATCTCTCGGCCCCCCACATCTGTGGGGCACTATAAGATGGTGAAGCACCGAGGAGATAAGGGCAACGAGGAAAATCCCCACAGGTAGGAAGGGAGAACTGCCTGGGAATCCGTGCCCCTAGCCAGGAAAGTCCTGAAGGTCTCTAGAGCCCCATCTGTTCCTTTCTTGGTCTTAGTATCCAATCTCTAACCCTCAGATTTGACCTACTGGTCCGTACCCAGAATTCCTGGACACAAGATGGAATGAACTCTCTGACATACCGATTGCTAGCTCGAGAGCTGGGTCCTCTGTATACCAACGTCACAGCAGACATTGGGACTGACCCTCGGGGTCCACAGGCTCCCCCTGGTCCCCGTTACCCACCTGGTTCTTCCCAGGCCTTCCGTCAAGAGATGCTGCAGCGCCGGCCTCCAGCTAGGCCTGGCCCTCTGCCTACTGCCAACCACACAGCCCCCCATGGTTCACATTGACTCCTTCTTGCCCACCTTAATCATGAAACTGAATCAGAAGGGTTGTATTCTCCCCATCCTCAGCTCCTCACTGCTCTCAAAGGGATGTGGGGGAACTAAACTCTAGTGCTATGCTGGGGGGAGGGGAGGGGCCTCTCATCACTGCTGGACTGGAGCTGGGCTCCTTTAGACCTGGGGAGGGTCCCTCTTTCTAGGGTCACCTGCCAGGGCTTATGACTGTGAATTCTTGATGTCATGATTTTATGTGACGACTCCTAGGAGTCCCCTGCCCCTGGGGTAAGAGCAGGGCTGGACCCCAAGCCCCTTCCTCTTCCATGAAGATCACTCTCTTCCAAGAGTGATCTGGCTTCCCTGGGACATCTGTGAATATTTATTCTATTTATGTTTCCCAGGAAGCTGTCTGGTGAAGGAAGCCCTTCCTAGGGCACTTTCTGCCAGTGCTGGAGTAGCTCCCTCTTCTGGTCCTGGCTCAGGGGGCTGGGATTTTGATATATTTTCTAATAAAGGACTTTGTCTTGACTCTTCTGCTTTCTGCATCCCAAGCACACTTTACCTTCTTTATCCCTTACTCTCATGCCTATAGGTGACAGAAGAGTGAGACCAAACTAAGCTCCAGCAACTTTTATTTTCATGAGTGGGAGTGGAGATCAGCTGCTAGGTTCAGTGCCCAGGACAGTGACTGCTGCCTGGCGCCCACTCTCTATACAGTCATTAACAGCAACCCCCTCGTAGGAGGCGCCAGCCAGAGTCAGGGGCAACTTTTGAGCAGTGAGGAATTGCATAGCTGATTCTGGAAGGGAAGGATGAGAGCAATATTACAGTTGGGGTCTTATTTCCTTAGTCCTCCTCCTGCCCAGTTGCATTCCCAACTTACCCAGCTTTTGCCAGTGGCCTAGTTTATACTGGGGGATGCAGTTCTGAGGAAAGAAGGAGGTTGAAGGGAAAATTTATTGATTTCCCAGGCCTTGGTTGACATAAGGTAAATATACCAGTTTCTGCCTTCAAGGCCTACAATGGAGAATTGATGAGAATTTATCCCAACTCACCTTGTGTAGATGGACCAAGCAGTGACTTGGTGACTCCTTCAGTCCTAATTGTGTGGCAACTGCTTCCTGTGCCTGTTGTTGGAACAGCTCCTGAGATAAGACATGGCCACTAGCCTCCAACGTCTGTAACCAGGAACCTCCCAACATCACCTAGGGAGGGAATATAGCACTGACCACCCTGGCTTTACCTACACTAGGGTACAGAAGAGCCTTTTGGAAACCCCACTAAGTAAAGTCTCCTCCTCTCACAGTCACTCTGAGGCCAGGGGGGCTCCCATCCTGCTCAGGGAAAGCAACTGAGTCATATACGATTCCCAGGACACTTGAGTCTTCCAAGGATGGCACCAAATGTCCAAATCCCTGGAGAGGAAGAAATGTACAAGTCAGGAGGGAAGGGCTCCAGCTGAGCCATGTCTCCCTTCCTCCTCTGTGACATACCTGAACAGGCAGACATGCTCCTCGGTACTGCAGGTTTACCACAGCTACCGACACCGCAGTAATGGTACTTAGGATCTGAGCCAGAGGTGCAGCCTCAGCAGGGAGCAGCTTACTGAGCACTAGAGGATATCAAGAAACAGTCATACTATCATTTCATTAGCTCTCTAGGATTAGACTCCTAAAAGGATGATCAGTTCAGGGGCATGATGTGCAGGAAGGCATAGCTATTGCTTCATGCTGGTTGGGAAAGGAAAGAGGGCTAACCCATTACCTGGAGCTGGAATGGCACTAATAATGTGGTCAGCCTCCAGACTGCTGTCCCCTAGAGACACCTGAGAGAATGAAATTATATTTGAGAAAGACAGAACTTTTTTGGGTGAAGTGAGACTTGCTGCCTCTCAGTTTCTCAGGTACCCAAGTGGCAGGAAGGCTGACAGGATGAAGAGAATGACTATATCATTCACACAAAAACTCCTCCTCTGTATCTCCAGAAGTGGGCCAGAGGCCAGTGTGGCTGCTCTGAACTGTTCACTGAAGCTGGGTTGTTCCTTCCCTATCCCTGAGCCACTTACAAGCACTACTAACCATAGACTTGCACCTAAGGGGTCTTTGAAAGAGGTCCACAGGTAAGGCCTAGGAACCCAGGGTAACCCATATCTAAATAGCTTCTAAGGCAGGAAAACAATGAAGAACTCCCGGTGGTGCTGTCAGCCCCGATCTGCTTAAACCATTTAGATAAAGATGGAAACACTGATACAGGGTCATTACACTCCAGAGGGTTCCCCTACCTTCCATTGCCCTTTTGCCTGGAGGCTGAGCCCACAGACTGGCTGTCCTCTAAGCACACTGACCCCTCTACTAGTCAGGTGGGTGTCAAGAGCCTGGGGCAACATCTCCAGCCCTCCACGGAGTGACCACTGGCTCCAGCGCTCAGCCCGGGCCTGGCGAATAAGTGCTGAGTCTGGCTGTGGGCTCTGCTCTGTAGAGGAGAAAGCAAAAAAGTTATCAAAATGGCACCCCTTGCCCCCAGCCCCTCAATTTGGCCAACCTTAATATCTCTGACCAATACCCCCCTCACCTGCCCCCAGCAGCAGCCCCAATAATATGGAACGATGGGTTTGCTCAGCTTGGAAGAGACTGGGAAAGCAGGACCTGATGCTGAGCTCACGGCTGTTGCCTGCAAACACTCCACGGCAGAGACTGTCCATGGCTAGAGACGCCACCTTAAGGGTGAGACTGGGACTGAGAGGCCAAGGAATAAGCTGCACTGACTGATTTTCCACTGGGAGGAGGAGAGGGTTTGAGTTGGGGGCCTTCCCACTATAACAGGATGAGAAGGAAGTGAAGGCATTCACTCCCAACACTGAGTTTTGGCAATTCTGTCAATATGAAGAGAAGAGGGCATCCCCAAATGATACAAAAGTACCTCTGGGGGAGGGAGGTGTACATCTGAGCAGGGGGCTCTGCAGCTGGTTTAGGAGGGGAGGGGTTTGAGGGCTCTGATCAGTGTCACCTCAGGTCCAAGACGGCGCTGGGCAAAACTGTGTACAGTCTCATCAGGCTCTTTGCCCCTGGGCTTCATCAACTCTCTTAATCCAGCCCAAAACAGAGGTTTGGAGAAGGGAGGTGAAGGGCGGAGTATTCCCCTGCATAGAGGAAGGCATAATGAAGAGAAAGTTACAGATTTACCTTTCCAGCTCCAGGGGATCATTTCCAAGGCAGACCACCCTTTTGCTGGGAGGGCTGACGGGTGGGGAGATGAAGAAATGGAAGGAATGTGAGAATGGGTGCAATGCAGAGAGATGGAAGTAACGGAGGTGTTATTACCTGAGACCGCTGGGAAGGGGGTGCAGGGCACCACCTACATACAGGAACCTGTTCCGGGCAGCTGGGTGGTCTCCTCGGACAGGCAACACTTCTGAGTCCAAGCCAAGCTCTGAAACCTGCTTTCCACACGCCCTCAAGAAGAGGAGAAGCTAAGTCAAGATGTGACCCGCCAAATCCACTTCCTCCCCTCTACTCTATCCCCTCCGCAACCTCTCCTACACATTCTACAAGCCTCTCACCAGGAGAAGGGTCCGGGCTCCTAGGGCTCCAGCAGGCCGAATTCCCCGAGGGCCAAGTTCAAAGATAGCACCATCGGGCCCTCGAACTGAGCGGATCCAGCCTCCTAATCGCTTGCTGGCCTCCACTAGGACCACCTAGCGACACAAGGGAGACATTGCAGCAGCATCTGCAGCAGTGGGGCGAGGGGGCTGGCGGGTTGTGTGCGTGTGTGCATTCCGCCGGCAAGGATCCAATCAGCTTTTGCTGGAAATAGAAGAGTATTAAATGATCCTACTTCTGCTAGAGTACTCACCTTCGGGGGACAGGGGGCTCGGCTCAGATGGTAACAGGCAGCCAAGCCGCTGATGCCTCCGCCAAGCACGACCACGGTCCGGACCATTGGGAAACCTGGGAAAAGGGCGCGATACGGGAAGGCAGATCGAGAGGTACCCTGAGCTCCAGAAGTCCCACGAGTTCCGCGTTCCACCCCCCGGCCACTCACTGATTTAGGGGAAACTAAGGCAGAGCGCGCTTATGTGCTGGTGGAACAGTAAGGTCTTCGTCAGGGGCCAGGACTCATCCACGAGATATGGAGGAACAAGAGAAAATGAGGGAGGAGAATGTAGAGGCCGTGAGGCCTCGCTCCGTGGAATGCAGATAAGGGGCACACCCACGCTATCTGCACTAGCAAGCTCGCGCGGCGGGCTGGAAGCTTGAATTCTTGAGGCCGCTACTCCGCCCCCAGCCCTTTCGGTCTCTCTGTCCCCTTTATTCTGGCGGCACGCGCCCGAGCCTCTTTCCTGCTTCTGGATTGGTGGGTTCTGGAAGGCCCCGGATCATATTCACCAATGAAAACACTGAACTGGCAGTGACGCTACAAGGCGGAGCAACCGTAATGCTGAGTCAGCTCAGTAGATGGGAAGGTTGACCCGTTCAGCGCCAAGTGGTGTTGCTGTGGCGGGCACTGTTCTCCCTAGAGCTAAGACCACGAGAGCTGACGCCGGGACTTAGCATTCCCCAGCTCAAGCTTCCCAGGCCTACCCAGGATGAGAACCCTGGAGGGAGGGCCCCAGGAGCCTTAGTTGTAGTGAGAGTCGACCGGGACGCTGGAGGCCAGTCCGCGGGGAGGCTGCTCCATAAACAGCTCCTGATGTTAGCAACAGACTGGGCCTACGGGAGCTTGGGCCGCCCGGCAACGTACCGTGTTTGTCAACAGGGCTTCTTAGGCGCCTCGCCCTCGAGGGGTAGCCTCCCCATCTCCAGGAAAACCCGGCGCCCCAGTGCCTGCATTCTAGTTTCAGGTCTCTCCGCAGCTTCGAATCTGAAGGTCTGCCTGCCTTCCTTCGACATACTAAACTGTCACTGCTTGGGCACACGTGTGGCCCGGCTCCACTCCTGATCCTTCCCTATCGAGTCTAAGAGCGCCCCCATCTGCACAGAGACGGAACCAGGACCCACGAAAACTCCAATTGGACCCACTCTGTATCGCTACTCCTAAGCACAAATATAAATGCCAACAGCACGTTTCTTAATAAATTTATTCACAAAAAGTGAGATTGCAGAGGGTGTGGGGGCTGTACATGGGCAAGGGCCTGGTGAGTTCTGTACAAGGGATTGGGAGACAAGGGAGTCTCCAGATGGAAGGATACTTTTAATAAAAAAAATAATGGGAGCTACAGTCACCCCCTCCCCCCTCCCCGATAAAAAGACACAAAAATAGACGTCTCTGAGGTAAATGGGGAGCTTGGGGGTTAAGGGTGTTGAAAGGGTTTCACAGGTGCCAGGGCTTAAAGAGGGTGTCACAGGCACCGGGGTGGTTCCTGCATCAGTTGGTAGAACAGCACGTAGCCCTCACTGGATGCCACCTGATTTTCACTGACAGGGGAGACACTAGGAAGAAGGAAGATGGGAAGAAGTTGTAGTCTGTATATTCCTGTGTATTCCCTCCCCAACACAAGACAACCTCAGCATCCAGGAAGAGATCAGAGAGACCACCACCTCTCATCTTTCACCAGGCACTCTGCTCTCCTGGGGCTTTATAGAAGGGGAAGTTGTTCTCACCGAGAGTCATTGTAGACATGCCAACCAGTCTGACACCTGCACAAGGCTGTATAGTGGCCATAGTGGACACTGCCCGAGTGGTTGCAAAGGGCATACAGCTGGTATACAGGGCTTCCTGTGGGGTTAGAAATGATCAAGTTCTATAAACAGAGCTGTATCCCCCTTCCTGAGGCTCCTTAGGATTTTTCCCACCAGACTCACCGGCTTTGTCACTGGCAAAGTCGCCTAGGCTCAGTCGCTGCAGTGGGAAGTCTACACCTACTGAACTTTTCTTGATAGAGCCTCGAGAGGTGGAAAATCGATTCAGATCTAAGCCCTGGTTAAGGAGCATTTGAGAGGTGGAGGGTCTCTAAGGGGGACCACAGTCTTAAATGCTTTCTCCTCCCTTCCCCCAACACATACTGGGAGATAACAGGAAAAGGTGGGGTGGCAGGCTTTTTCTAAGGAAAACTCAATGAGAGTGAGGAAAGAAAATGTACAGGAGATATCCTCAGAGAAATAAGAATTTGAAGATTAGGATATGGAGCACGAGGATTCGGGGGAATCTCTGTACTGTCAACTTTTTGGTACTTCGTGTTTTCTGCCGACATCGGTCACACACCTGAATAAATGACAAGTAGTGTTAGGTTAATGTACTCTCACCTCAGTTGGCTTTTTCAACACCCCAATCTACGTAAAAATGTACTATGCTCACTACTTCTGTATCTTCTGGGCCACATCCCTTTGCCCTAGGAGTACTAGAACATATCTGAGACTCCAGTACATCTGCTAGGCAGGCACTCTTACCACTTGAGCCCCTCCACCAGCCAAGACTCCAGTATAAATCCAGATATGTAACTATTATGTCCCCTACTAAGCACACACACACCTCCTTGGGTGGGTCCTCCCCACCCAAGCCTTCCACCCTTATCATATCCCCGTGAACCTTTACATACTGGAGCATTCTCTGACTCTAGCTCTTCCTCCTTGGTGAAAAGGCTGAAACAATCCCGCAGGGACACCTTGCCCCCAGCAAATCCTTTCTGCGGGGGAAAGGGAAAGTAGGGTCAGTATATTCTGAATTTCTTTTTCCAACTCTCTTAACCAATACAGGCTTCAATTCTGCTCTCAAGACCCACAAGATTCCCACCCACACTCTGGGGGTGAGTAGGGTTGTGTCACAGAACCCGTGTTCCATCCACCCCTGGAATCCTCTGGAATCCCACCTTGGGGATGGGCAGGGACAGGTCACAAAAAACCTCGAAGGTCGTGGAGCGATACCCACAGGCCTGGCACTTGAGACAACTTTTCAACTGGCCCACAAACAAGTCTAGACAGAGACAAAGGGGTAGAGGAAAAAGTTGTTGTTGGAAGCCTGAGATGCGTTCTTGGAATCCTGTCTCTTCCCGCCCCTTTGCTTTACCCTCCTTTCCTGCTACCAAAACTTTTAACAAACTCTTCATACCATTTCACATCTTCATCATCTAATCTTGTTCCCATACCCCTTGATAGCATCAATTTTTTTTTCTCTCAAGCCTGCACCCCTTCACACAAATCCCACCCCCACTTTTTTTGCCCCATATCATACCCACAATCTTGCTGTCCTCTCGCTCCAGGTAACGCTTCCACATTAGGTTGGCTCGGTCATCATCACTACCATAAATCAAGGGAAGTGGGAAGCACCCATGAGATGCAGGAACACTAGGTACCCCCAAGACCACTGAAATGATCCACAGAGCCCTGTATCCCACCTCCACCCCCAGCTCCTTCCCTAAATTTCTAAAGTCTAAAGGAGTAATGCTTCAGGGAATATTCTGGGACAATTCAAGGTGAGAGAAAAAGGAATGAACACAAGGGAAGAGCATGGTGTCTTCTGGCTTTGAGCCCTTTAAAAAAATTTTTTTTGCAGTACCTAGGTTTGAACTCAGGGCCTCACAATTGCTAGGCAGGTGCTCTACCACTTGAGCCACACCTCCAGTCTGAGCCCTTTTTATGTATTTTGTTGCAAATTAATTATCCCTTTTCCCTTGATTTGGTGACATCCATAGCACCATTTTCTGCCTCTATCTGTACCCCTCAGTCTCCCTCTCCCTCCTAGTTTCTTTCTACTTCCACATGGCTCTCAATCCAGTTCTAGCTAAATGGTTTCTAGAGACCCTACACCTGCTAGCTTGACTAGCTCAGTTCTGTGAAGGATGAATGCTGCTGATAAACTACCGGGGAAAGGAGGGAGGGGGAGCAACCCTTACCTTAACTCAGGTTCTTCTAGCAGAGCCCCTCCTCGGCGGGATGCTGAGGGAGCTGGACCATTGGCCAGGATTGGTGGAGCCCGTCGGCTGCGTCGGTTGATTTCAAGGTGTAGCCGCTCCATAAGGAGCTTCAGGAACTCTTGGGCATCCTGTTGGCTATAGCCAGACAGAGAATATAGACAACAGTCCCCCTTCTAGTGTATAAATACTATCCCCTGCCCAGATATGGGTCCTATTTCCTGGATGGAGAACATCTCAAGGCTCATAACAATGCTGCTGGGGGCCCTGCTTGGCCCTACCCCTAGACATGGCTAAGAGAAATCCCATGCTCTCTAGATCTCCCACCTGTATCCAGAGAAGGAGGGAACGTATTTCTGGAAGACAGCTCGAAATCGAGTAGGATTCACAGCTTCACAGGAGTCAGGATGCCAGAGGGCACCAATCACATCTGCAAAAGCTGTTGGGGTGAGAGTAGGGAAGGGAAACAAAGGTTAATGTCTGGAAGAGGCAGGCAAGAGAAGACAGGGCAGAAAACAACCTCTAGGAAAGTAGGCACTAGGAAAAATAGATTTAACTGCCAGACTAAAGGATTTGGGGGTCATAAGAACTGGCAGATGGACCTGCAAGGGATTGGGGGAAAAGGGAACAGAGCAAGCAGGAGCTGTTGCCCACCTTCAGTGAGCTCTTGGGCTCGGCCCCCTCCAGGCACCTCTTGCCGAAAGTCCCTTCTCAGGCAAAAGTCACGAAGAGGCCGAGTGCTGCTCAAACACTGTAGCACAGCATTCAGGAAGCACTGGAGAGGAGGGATACTGTTGTTACCTTTCTAGACCGAGCCTTAGGAGAGCTTTAGTGCTCTTTCCACATTCCTTCCCCAAGTCCACAGGTTCTTCCCACCCAAAGCACCATTTTGCATTCCTTTTAGACAGGAAGAACAGGAAAATGGCTCTTACTGTATTTCCCAGATTTCGGAGGCCAACATGACCAGAGCCCAGAAGCAGTGTGTGATGAGCCTGGAAGGTCAGAGTACAGTCAGCAGGTTCCCACATACCTACCTGGCACTTCAATCTTTCAATAGCATGCTTCCCACTGCCTCCCAATGCCATATATGCCCAAACTCTACCCTCTTTCCCTCACAGGTCTTCCTACCTCATTGGTCATGAGCAGTAAGCCCATCACAGCTGAGTGTACCACAGACTCAGCCATGGCTGTCACACCTATTCCACACTTACTCCTCTGCCCAGCTAGTCGACGTTGCAGCTCCTGGGGCAATTCCCCAAGCACTGGCATGGTTGCCCAGCTGCTCCCCACCCCCACCTTGCTGCCCCCAAATCCCCCTCCTGCCCCCGTGGCCCTTTCCTGCACCCTCTCCTGCTGGCTCCAACTGCAATCAGCCTAGATCACTTAGCTCAGGAAATGGGCAACCACATTAGCTCAGATGTTCTGAGCCCTCCCCTCTTCAGCTCCAGAGATTAATTAGGCTTAGGCAGAATCCTAGGAGAGAAGGTGCAGTAAGGGAAAGGATGGGTCTGGGGACCCAAAGAAGAATTCTAAATAGCTGGGTTAATTCCCTAGGGACTGAAGTGGCACACCAAGTTGGGGACTGACAGACAACCCAAGAAAGGGTATAGAAGGCCCCAAAAGTAATGCAGGTGAGGGTCTGCTGGTGTAAGGAGGGGTTAAGAAAGGCACTTGTGGAAAAGGCGGACAGAAAAGCCACATGATGACAAGAAAACTGGAGGCTTAGAGGGACATGAGCATGAAAAGTATGTGTGCTGGGAAGTCCTCACCATCTTGTCATCAGAGTAGAAAGGCTCAGAGGGCCGGGCAGATATCATGTGGAAGGAGCCATGGGAAGTAGGGGGTTCTGTCCGTATGCTGAGCAAGGTAGGGGGTCCAGGAAAGCCCCCAAGACGGCGAAGAGAAGTACTACGTCTCAAAGTGGGTGGCTCAGGCCGGAGTGCCAAGCGGCTCAGTGCAGCCCCGAGCTCTCCAGTGCCACGGTGCCCTCCCAAGGCAATCCCCATTGGACGCAAGTCCCCACTGCTCACAGACTTGGAACGGGCTAAGTTGGTCCTGGATGGGAGAGGCAGAGCCACAGTTGGGGGTGGTGAACCAGGTAGGGGAACCCCATGGTCTGCCCGAAGGGGGCCTCTGGGACGAGGGGCTGAGGTCCGACCCCGTCCAAGCTCCAGTTTCTTAAGCCGTTCATCAGGGGGACCTGGCCGTGGAGGCAGAGGTCGTAACATGGGGTTTGGCCCAGGAGCTGGGTTTCGGCGCTCCTTGCTGCGGGCCCGGGGGGCAAATGGTAACTTGGATCCCACTCGGGGCTGGATATTGACAGGTGGCTCTCGTGTCCTGCCCAGGCGGTGCTCAGAGGCCTGAGGCATTGTGGACACTGCAGGCTGGACCTGAGAGGAGAAGACAGGGTCAGCATTGTAGTTACCGAGGGAGATGTGACCCTAGGCTACCATACTAGCTTCTACATGCTCTGAGGACTCTGACCATATCTATCAAATGAGTTATTGCACCCCCATTATCCAGCATAGTGTTTGGCATGAAGAAAATACTTAGTATTCTTCGAGAAAAGAAATGAACGTATGACAGTAGCTCATGACTTTGACCCTTTCTACACCCCCATCCCTTCCCTATAGAATATCACTGAAGAGCCAGTGATAGTCCCAATCTCTGCTGTCTTTATCATCTATAAACTTGGAACAAGGGCCCTCATACCTGGCTAGTCAAGTGGGATGTGCCCTGGACCTGTGGTCAAATGGGAAGTGTGGAACAAGGATAACAGCCCAAAAGACAGCATTCCATCCTCAAACTCCTGGTCCTGCGGGTTGCAAATGAAGCAGACTATATGGGTGATTTGCGATCCATTCCCTCCCCCACCTCCGAGCTCCGACATGGTGTTGGGGCTCAGGGGGCAATGGCTGGGGATGGAAGACGAATAACTCCTTGACCCCTAATCTCTGCACCTCTCCCACCACAGCAGGGCTTTACCCGGGTCCGCCCCCCTCGAGGGCAGAAAGGCCGAGGCCGCTGATTGGCTACGGGGTCCGGCGGCATACTCCCCGCGGTCCGGGAATGCTGTCCCTCCAGCCCAGTTCTCCCAGGCCCCGCCGCGCTCCCCGAGCCTCTGCCTTGATGGAGAACGTCCTCTGGGGTCTAAAGCAGTCCTCTCTCAGCTCGTGCACCCCACCCCACCATAACGCTCCGGCCCGTACCTGTCCCCCGGCGAGGCGACGGGGGAGGCCAGCCGGGGCCAGACTCCAGCTCAGGGCCACCCCCTCCTACCCCCGTATAGCGCCCCCGCGGGCCGGGCTCCTGCTTTAGCCGCAGCTGTTGCCCAGATCGCTCCCGCCGCAAGGGCCGCCGCCATCTTTGTTGGTCCCGCCCGGCCACCGGCCACCGACTTCACCGTCTCTCAAAGCGCCTGCGCACCCACGCTCGAAATCCTCCTACCCGCCTCCTCGGCGCTTGCGTGAGCCAGCCCCCACCGCTCCACGGCCGACACCATGGAAACGCAGCCAACTTTAGAACCGCTAGTTCCCAGCCCTGCCCAGGGTGGTCTTTAAACCATCGCTCCAAAGCAAGTCCCTGAGGGCTACGCTCCTGTCACTCCGTCCTGTGACACACAAGGATGTAGATCTGACACTCGAAGGATGAATTACAGCATAGATCCTTCCTAGATTGGAGGGATGCCAGTGTTGCAAGCTGCAGGCCTGGGTCCAGCCCACATACCAGTGGAGAGCATCTAATACTCCACATAGAGATGGGAAGATCCCTAGAGGGCAGAGAATGCTGAACCTGCAAAACCATTCCTCAAGCTCCTTGCAGGCTCAAACAGTAGGGTAAAGCATGTCTCACCGCTAAAGGACAAAGGCAGATAGATCTCAGGAGCAGGAAGAGCAGTCCAGATTTTCTTTCATTCCCCAGCTCCGGACCAGAACATCTATTTCCCCCATCCTAGTGTAGCTGTTCATGTGCCTCCGGCATTAGCCACCAATGAAAACCACAAGCCACAACAGGAAGCAGCTTTTATTGATGGGTGTCTCCAGAAACCAAAAAGGCTACATACTCATTCTCAATTACCCCTATGCCTCCAGGATTGAGGCTTCCATTGCTCCACTTAGGGAAGATATATAAATTGCCTCTTGGTTTTTCAAGGCCCAAGTCTTTTCCCAACCTGTGTAGACTTAGAAACTCAATGGCAGTACCGGGTTGTTGTTTTTTAGCCCCAGCAATGCCTGCTGCAGCTTCTTAGTAGCAGCTTGAGCTGGAGGGATGTGGGACAGTAAGAAAAGTGATGCGCAAGAAAAAAGGAACACAGTCTGAGGGATACAGGTCCCTTTGTCCTGCCTCAGTGGCTTGATCCTTCATTGGTTGCATTTCTCTTTGTGCTGGATCACACCCTTCTGAATCAGATCAGGGATTTCCACTGCCAGCCATGGACCCAGCTGCAATACAAGGGAGACCCTGTAAGACAACTCCTGCCCGGTCAATGCCTCTTGTTCCATCAGAAAACTCCTTCCTGAAGAGAGATTCTGGGAAAACATGCCCAAGGGACAACACTGTTGTTCCTTGTTTACTGTCAGCTACTTTTTTCTTATACTGCTTAGGGCCTGAACCATCCCTCTCCCCATCACATACCAAATGTACAAAACTTACCCCCAGGGCCATGAGATGAGCTAGTCCAAATTTGGGCACATTCCTGGCCCACAGAGGTTTGAAGTGATCAGTCAGGCATATTTTGCCTCCCCTATGAGAGGGATGAAAGAAAGGTGTTGGTATGCAAATTTTACCATATTGCATAGTAGTCTCTTGGGAGCACAGGAAAATTACTAGTGCTGAGAATGGAGAACAAAGTTAGCTAAGTCATTTGCCCAGGCCTGGAGCCCCTCTAGGCCAGCAGGCTGGGGAAATCTTCTGCCTCTTGAGTTCTTCCCTAAGGCCGTCTCTGGCTCTTTCTCATCTCCTATGTAGTCCTACCTGTACATCTTTGCTGTCTTTCCATCCAGCTCAGGGACTGCAATTTCTGGAGCAGTAGTGGGATATGTGACAGGAATCTGGAGAAATTATGAAATCTTAATAAAACAGAGAATCAAGATAGAAAGAAGCTAATCTAATCAAACATCAAACTAATCTAAGCTTGGTTGAACTGAAATGGTCTGCAAACTCCCCAAGTATGTACATGCCAAGATTTTGGACATGGAACTTAGTAAGTGTAACTTTTGCTTGCTTCAAATCTCAGCTTATTCCTCCCATTTTTAAAGTTTTCTTTGGTCCTTTCAAGAAAGTTTAGTTTAACAATCACCTCATCTTTCCCCTTCTATTAACCCTCATTTTTCCCACTCCATCACACTCACGTCAAACTCGATGTCAAACTCATATTTGAGGAGGTCATGGATGTACCAGCACTTTCCAAACCACCTGTAACAAAGACCAAACCTCAGTCCAATTTCCCCATTCCTCTCATACTCAAATGATATCTTGGCTTAGGCTACCAACCTGGAAGACTTATGGGACAGAAACTGGGGAATACTGGAGTTATGGAGTAGAGACAGCTAATGTGACACATGGCAGCTCTAACAGTGGGCCTTGGGATACCAAATTGCTTAAGTCAGGTAAGACTCCCACACCACACCTTCCAAGAGGGTCTGCCTACCGGGTCCCTTCCTTGTTGGACTCCAGTCGGAACCAATCATTGTCTGCATTCTTGTTGTTCTCCACATACTAAAAGCATAAAATGAGATCTATGAGGAGTGAGTCATGGCCAAGAGGAGCACCCTCCCATCAAAAGAAGTGTCAGATTACTCTTTCTCAGTATGTTTATCCAGCTTTTCTTTTCTTCTTTTTTGGTTTTTTGGCAGTTCTGGAGTTTGAACTCAGGGCTTCATGCTTGCTAGACAGATGCTCTACCACTTGAGCCACTCTGCCAGCCCCTTTTCTGACAAAAGCAAAACTGAAGGCGAGGCTATACTGGTAAATTAGGGCTTGCTCAGAGCACAGAATAGAACACTTGGGTCCAATTTAGCAGGCACAAAACATTTGAAGATATTATCTGGGTTCTTTTCTCACTTCTGACAGTGTCTGCCCTCCGCCCACAACTCACTTTGTAGGGCACTGCCTTCCTGGAGCACCTCATATAGTCCATTAGCACCCACAAGCTAATGACTAATTAGCTAATTCTTTTTTTTTTTTTTTTTTTTTGGAGAGACTAAGGTTTTGAACTAAGGGCTTTGTGCTTGCAAAGCAGGTGCTCTCTACCACTTGAGGCACACCTCCAGTCCATTTTGTTCTGATTAGTTTGAATATGAGAGTCCTGTGAACTACTCCCCTCAACCCCCGGGCTGGTTTTGAACCTTGATTCTCTCAATCTCAGGCTCCCAAGTAACTAGGATTACAGGTGTGAGCCACTGGCATCCAGCCAACTCCTAAATTTTTATCTTTAGTTCAGAACTTTTGTCAGAATTTTATACTCTAGTATCTAACAGTAAATTCAAATTTTTACCATCATTTAACACTAAAACTCAGCATATCTACCTGAGATCTATACTCTTTTTTTTCTTTTGTGGTACTGGGATTTGAACTCAAGGCCTACACCTTGAGCCACTCCACCACCCCTTTTTTATGAAGAGTCTTTTTGAGATAGAGTCTCAAAAACTATTTGCCAGGGCTGGCTTCAAACCTGATCTCTGCCTCCTGAGTAGCTAGGATTACAGGTGTGAGCCACTGGTGCCCAGCTATACTATTTCTTCAGACTTGTTTCTCTTCCTGAGATTGAGAAATCTCAGATGGCTGTGTCACTAAATCACCTAAGCCAAAAACTTTGCAATAATCCTTGACCCTCTCTCTTCTTTACTCCACCAATTCTTCATTATATCCTGCTGATTTTACCTTCTGAGTATTCTTCAAATGTACCTCTCCTCTCTATCCTCTCCACAACTGCCTAGTTTAAATAATCTTTCTTTCATTTGGATTAATGACAGCCTCTTAGCTGATCGCCTACCTTTCAAGCTTATACCTGCCAATTGTATTTTTCTCTCTATTGTCACTGTGCTTGATCTAAACCCAAACTTGATTATATTACTCCTCAGATTAAAATCCTTTAAAGGCATCCTAAAGAGTCCAAACAAAATACAATTGCTCAAACCTATCTCTCCGGTTTATTTACCACTCCTTGCCTCACAACTGATGCTCTAGCAACTCTGAACTACTTTTTTCTTCATATACACCATTCTCCTTCTACTCCTTTCTCCCTCCCTCCCTTTCTTTCTTTTCTGTGGGACTGGAGTTTGAACTCAGGGCTTTTGGCTTACAAAGCAGGCACTCCACCTTGAGCCTGCTCCAGTCCATTTTGCTCTGGTTATTTTGGAGATAGGGTCTTATGAACAATTTGCTTGGGCTGGCCTCAAACCTCAATTCTCCTGATCTCAGCCTCCCAAGTAACTAGGATTACAGGCATGAGCCACAGGTGTCCAGCTCACATCATACTCTTTCTAGCTTGCATGACTTTGTTCATGCTGTCTTTTGTACCTTGAGTGTTCTCCTATCCTTATGTTGTATCAGACTAGCTTATGTTTAACCTTTAAATCTCAGCTCAAGTATTACCACTTCCAGGAAGCTTTTCCTGACCAAACTCAAGCTGTATTAGGTATCTTTTCTCATACTTTCGAAAAAAACATCCTAGCCATTTAAACACTGTATAATAATGTCTCTACCTCAGTAGGAGCCACCTTATTTGGTTTTGCATCCTCTAGATTCTAGAAGCACAATAAAAATTTCTAGGTGAAGAAATACATGAGGTTGGACATCTGCTGGCCTTTGAGGCAGACAGAGCCCACTGCAAAGAAAAAAAGTTCTCTTCCGTAGTAGAAACATGAACCAAGATGTCTAGTTTCTAAGAGCTCCGCATCCCTCTCTTCAGCTAACACCCTAAATTTTCAGCCCTAACATGCGTGCCTCCCTCAGGAAGACTGAAGAAGGGAGCAGAGGTGCAATGGGATTTAGGACCGTAAGAAGTACTTTTGACCACCTCTCCTACATCCACTACCACAAACATCTGGAACCCGAGAGCCACGTCATCCTCAAGGAAGATGTAACGCTGAAACAACGTTTTTAGCTGCAAGGTCTAAGTTCACTGTGCTCCTAACCTGAGCTGCTTCTGCGTCGTTCCCACCCAGGTTTGGTAATCCCCCAGCCCCACAAACATCCCAGTACTATGATTTATGGTAAAGTTAAAAACCGGAAGTGGCTTCCACACGGAGCTTATTCCTCAGAGCACCCGATAACCCGCAACCCGTTTGCGACGCTGTCAGCCATTAGGAGCACAACTGACCCGGATAAGGGACTGATACTCCTCCTTTAGTCGCTGCACCCACAACTCCCGATCCCGAGGTCCGGCGTTAGTCTTCAGCACTGGAATCTCAGACACGACCCGCCGAGTGGCCTCGTCCGCCATCTTGGACCAGGGCACAAGAGAAATGCGGAAGTCGTATTGCTTGTAATTTACGCTCAAGGTGCCGCCATCTTTACTACGGGAGGACGAGGCGTTGGGTTGCCAAGACTTCTATGAATGCACTCTTTATTTTCTCGAAACGGAGACAAATTTGCGACCTCCTCACCTGCTTGTGTGTGCATCGGAAATAACAATGGAAAGAGACTGGTCTGTCCTGAATATGGCACCTATTATTAAATCACCGGAGACGGCTCAGAGAGTGACTTCCGTTCATGCTCAGACAAGCAATCTCAGAAAACCCTTCCGGACACCTTCCCAAACCTAGAAAGTTGTTAGACTGTTAGGCTGTTCTAGGCACTGTTCCCTGCCTTGCCAAAATGCGCGACTCGTGTGTTTCTGCTTCAAAGAAGCTTTCTTAACGTATATAGTTCCTACCCTGAAGAATTAACACAGCCGGATTAGGGAATTGTTAGTAAGTGTCAAAGGACTTTAGATATTACAAGATTTGCCTTAATCTGTCCTAGAATAGGCACTCACTAGCTGAGCCCTAGATTTTTCTTTTTCGGGGGTGGGGAGGAATTAATTCATCCAGGAAGGAACCTTGTCTCTCTATACATTGTGTATGGCACACAATAGGTACTCAGTAATCCTTTGCAAAATTTTGTATCTCCTAGTTGGTTTTAAAACCTAAACAGAATAACTTTGGCTTTAATTTAAGTATCTTGTTTATTCAGTGAATCATTCCAGCCTATGCCAGTAATTTTGGATCCATTTCTATCAACTTTCAAATTTGTAGTTCATCAATAAATTTGATAAGTGTGCTATATCTTGTCTAATTGCACTGGCTGAAACGTCCAAGACACTGCTGAATAAAAATGTTGAGAGCAGGCATTGATTTACCCCAATTTTATCGGGAAAATTAAATCTCCATTAAGTATGATGTTAAGTATAAGTTTTCTTCCAGGTTGAGGAAGTTCTGCTTTTTTTTTTTTTTTTTCTTTTAATCATAAATCCATAGGGGATTTTTCCTCCCCCTTTGGTGGGACTGAGGTTTGAACTCAGGGCTTTATGCTTGCAAAGCAGGTGAGCTAGTGCTTGAGCCACACCTCCAGTCCATTTTGTTCTGTTTTTTTTGGAGATGGGGGGGTCACACTAATTGTTTGCCTTGGCTGGTCTCAAACCTGGATCCTTCCAACTTCAGCCCCCCAGGTAGCAAGGATTACAGGTGTGAGCCTACAGCGGCTGGGGATGTGGGATTTTTTTCAAATGTTTTTTCTGTGTATTTGACATGATAGTGTGATTCTTGATCAGCATGTTGTACATCTGTTTCATAAAATTATTGAATGTTGGGTATCGGATATAGTTAAGGCAAAGCTTTGTAACACCTCACTCAAGGTCTCCTAGGGTAGATAAAGATTTATTTCATTTTGGGTGTAGGCACTATGGTACACCACAGTGAGAACACAGTACAGAGAACAAAGATTTGGAATGAGGCTTTGCAATTTAATTGTCATTAAGACTTTGTAGAGGGCTGGAGGCATGGCTTAAGTGGTAGGGTGCCCGCCTAGCAAGCCAGAGGCCCTGACTTCAAGCCTCCCCCGACCTCCCCCCAAAAAAAAAGACTTTGTAGAATTACTTTAACTCCTTGTGGTACATTATCTCACCTATAAAAGGAATATAATTCTTTTTTTTTAAATTTTTTTCCCACACAGCTAGTAAGTGATATAATAATTCTTATAGGGTGTTGTAACTGTATATGTAATGCCAAAATTCACAAAATAGGCTTTTGGGATGAAATTTAGATAAATAAATAACAGTAGTTTTCAAACTTTTATGTAATAGAGTCAAATTTACAAACAAAGTCTTGCTGGAAATCTCAAAATACAAAGTGATCAAGCACTAGGCCATGCATATAATCCCAGTTACTTGGAAAGTTTAAAGCCAGCCTGGTCAAAGTTAGTGAGACTGTGCAAAATACAAAATACAAATAAAAGGGCTGGGCTGTGGACATGGCTCAAGTAGTAGAATGTTTGTGTGAGAGTCTGAGTTCAATCCCCAGTACTCAAAAACAAAAAAAAAAACAAAAAGAAAGAAAGAAAAAAACAAGAAAGAAAAGTGATCAATGATCAATGCAGAGCTGTTCTTGTTCAACTACAGGCAGAAAACTTCCAGCTTTGAAAACAGTTCGCTGTGAAAACCATGCTTCATATTTTATTGTTTAATTGTCTTGATAGCCAGGAAGCTCATTCAAAGTAGGTGCTATTATCTATTTTGTTCAATGCTATATTTCTAAAACCTGATAAAGTACCTGGCACAGATTTTGTTCAATCGATACTTTGATACTTTTTTTTTTCAAGCATTTAAAGCTTCACAGCTTTCTTTAGAGAAGTGACAGTCTCAATCAATATTTTTTTAAATCAATGAACATCACCTGGGTGCAGTGGTTCAGGCCCATAATCATTGACATTGAGGCAAGAGTATCTAAAGTTTGAGACCAGTCTGGGCTTCATGGCGAGACCTTGTCTCAAAAAGAGGTGATTTTTTTTTTTTTTTGCAGTTCTGGGGTTTGAACTCAGGCTTACACCTGGAGCCACTCCACCAACCCTTTTTTATGATGGGTTTTTTCGAAATAAGGTCTCTCGAACTATATTTCCTGGGTTGGCTTCGAACTGCTATCTTCCTAATCTCTGCCTGCTGACTAGCTAGTAAAAATAATGTTTAATGAAATGTCTTGATACATAAGCACTAAAAGAGCTGTTTCAGATTGTGTGTGTGTGTGTGGTGGTACAGAGACTTGAAATCAGGACTTCATACTTTCTAGGCACATACTCTACTACTTGAGCCACAACCCAGCCCTTTTATTTTTTAGGTAGGGTTTCATATTTTTTGCCCTGGCCTGGACTGGGATTCTCCAATTTATGCCTCCTGTATAGCTGGATGATAGGTTGTGCACCACCATACCCAGCATTTTGTTGAGATGGGGGTCTCATTAACTTTTGCCCCCAACCCTTTTGGCTTTTGTTATTTTTCAGGTAGGGTCCTGTGTTCTTTTTGCTGTAGTGAGCCTTGAACTGTGATCCTCCTCCTTATCTTTGCTTCCTGAGCAGCTGGGATTACAAAGACAAGTCACTGTGCCTGCCCATGCTGTTTTGTTTTAAAACTGCATGTTGTTGCCAGGCACCAGTGGCTTGCGCCTGTAATCCTAGCTACTCAAGATGCAGAGATCAGTTCAAAGCCAGCCCCAGGCAAGTAGTTCTGAACCCTATCTTGAAAAACCTGTTACAAGAAAGGGGTTGGTGAAGTGGCTCAAGTGGTAGAGTGCCTGCCTAGCAAATGTGAGTGCTGAGTTCAAACCCCAGTACTGCCAAAAAAAAAAAAAAGAAAAAGAAAAAAAAACCCCCAAAACAAAGAAAGCATGGAAAAATCATCTTATTAAATCACATAGTAAAGCAGAGCTCAAATGTATGGTAATACAAAGTACTGTTAAACATAGGGCTGTGTCTAGTTACAGGATTATAGGTATGATATATCTCTACAGAGTTGTTTTAGAAAAATGCTTTTTGTTGTTTTGTTTTTTGAGATAAAGTTTTACTGTGTAGCCCAGGCTTATCTCAAACTCAGTATGAAGACCATGCTGGCCTTAACCTCGTGATCCTCCTGCCTGTGTCTCCTGAGAACCAGGACTATAGGTATGTGCCACACACCCAGCTAAGAATTTTATTTTTGGCAGCACTGGAGTTTGAACTCAGGGCCTCATGCTTGCTAGGCAGGCACTCTGGTAAGCCACTCCCCCATCCCCTTTTATGTGATGGATTTTTTGGAGATAGGGTCTGGAGAACTATTTGCCTGGGGCTGGCTTTGAACTGTGGTCCTCCTGATCTCTGCCTCCTGAGTAGCTAGGATTACAGGCATTAGCCACCTCTGCCTGGCTCTTTGTTTTTGAGACAAGGTCTCTCTTTGTAGTCCAAGCTGGACTCCAACTCTCCACCTTGCTTACACTGCCATACTGGGATTACAGGCCTGCACCACCATGCCCTGATGAGTCACATTAACTGTTAATGTGACTTCACCTTTCCCCACTAGCTAGTAAGATCTGGGCAAGGGTTAGGGGGCCAGAGAATTTGGTTAACGAATATAAAAAGACATAGTCTTTGGGGAGGAGAAGCTAATATGCAGATAATTACCATAAAATAATGTTTCTGTTCTGGAGGTACAGAAATATTGTCTAAGCAAATATGTCTGAGAGAATCAGATAAGAGTGATAGCATTTGAGCTGGAATCCTTAGGAAAAGTACATTAAACATGCAGGCAAGGAAAGAGCAGGGGAAGTGTGGGATTCCAGGTAGACTAAAGAACATGTGAACAGGCAGGAAAGCATGAAGGAAGACACTGTTGTCAATAATAGCAAATATCCAGATCCTTATTTATGCCAGAAGGTGTAGGGAAGCCTCTAGGAACTATTAATGCTTATTGTAGGGGCAAAATCATACTCTGAAGGTTTGATGGAAGGAACTGACAATGAACAGATTAACCAGGAAAAGAAGTGTAACATTTTATTAATGTGAAAACAGGAAAAAAATCACAACATGGGGGGAAAAATCACAGCAGTGTGATTACTCTCTAGAGCTCAACATGATTGGGGACATATACTTTTTTCCTATGTTGGAGGGAGATAATAGGGAATGTCAAAGGAATAGTAAATGCTTTTTAAGGGAACTCAATGGGCTTGGAACACATATTATGGCCTGGAACAGAGTCTTTTGGGCCTGCAGAACAGAAAATAGGATATAAATGATTGCCTTTGGGATCAAAATTTTGGACAATAGTCTGACAGACAAAAGTCTGTCCAGGTATGATGACAGATTTCAGTCTTTCTTCCTACAACACACACAGTCTTCTCTGGTTATTAAATTTTAATAAGAAGATTGAAGATAATTGTGTTCCTCTTTTGGTGGATCCAGTCAGGTACTTAAGGAAACTTTGCAAGTCCCTGTCTGCTGGGTGAGGGAGAAACAACGGAAGGTCAGAGGGATTTTGATTCTGAGGTAAGTTCTAAGGACTCTCAGTGTGACAAAGCACCAGTCCTTTTTTTTTTTTTTGCAGTTCTGGGACTTGAATTCAGGGCCCACCTGGAGGCCCTTTTTTGTGAGGGTTTTTTTTTTTTTTTTTTTTTTTGAGATAGGGCTATTTGCCTGGGCTGGCTTGGAACTGTGATTCTCCTGATCTCTATCTCCTGAGTAGCTAGGATTACAGGTGTGAGCCACCTGCGCTGGACTAAAGCACCAGTCTTTGAGGTATTATTTTCTGAGCCCAACAGTATGTAATCTGCTGTATGAAAGCAAAAATATTTGTAAATATGATAAAGTCAGAACACAGAATTTTGCATATGTGGGGTTTTAAAATATTTATTCTTGACTAGGTAATACACAC